TTAAATTCATGTTCGAGTGTTTCATACTTAAATTTATCGCCTCTTACGTTTTTTATTGAAAAACTTTGTTTGCTAGTCTAAATAAAAGAATTCATGTTCAATGTTTCGTACTTAAATTTATTGTCTCTTACGTTTTTTATTGAAAAACTTCGTTTGCTAGCCTAAATAAAAGAACTCACACTGGTTGAAAATTGGTTAGAACTTATAGTCTTCGGGAGTCGAAATAAAACCAAATTTCACCATTAACACATGTGAATAATGAGTTTTTTTATTTTAATCTTTTTACGTTAGATGTGAGTCTGATCTTAATATAAGATATGTAAATTTATGTATTTATTATGATTAATTTAAATTTATGTCGGTTATATCGAGGACTAACATCCATTTATGCTATATAAAAAATGAGACAGACTACAAAAATTAAAAAAATTGGACAAAATTTAGTCAAACTATGTTACAACAAACATATATTTACGTCAATTATAGCATGGTCTGACGTAAATTTACGTCGAATCATGCTATAAGTAAATTTATATTGGGTGAGACTAAATCCGACGTAAATTCACGTTTGTTATAGTCTGATCCAACGTAAAATTCATCCTTTTTTTTAATATTGAGTTTTTTTTGTCTTACCATCAAAACAAATTTTAATGACTGACAGTCCAGATATTAAGTTTCTTGAGATACTAATTCAAAAATATAACAATACAATATAATACAAAGTTAAACTAGTACATCAAACTAATACAAAAACTAAACTACTTAAATTTTAAACTACATAATATAATACAATACAAACTAGTACAAAAACTAAACTACCTAAATTTTAAACTACATAATACAATATAATACAAACAACAATATACAAATTAAGTAATAGAATGGTTGAACAAAAAACTTTCTTTATTGCTCTCTAATTTGTGTAATATCATGTTCTAGTAGTGGAGATGACTTGAAACATGAATTTGACTCTTGTTAACATGTAATACGCATAAATGTAAATTAACTTAACAAATGTTAAAAGTAATTACAATAATTATGGTGTTTATTTATATAAATAAGTTTCTAACCTTAGAATAAATGAAGTGCAAATTATTTGTTCTGTTATGGGTCTTCCACTTAGAATATTAATTTCATACACGATTCTAATTGAAATAAACACTACAAGAAAAATTGAAATTACAGACGGACAAAATTAAGTCGATAATATTTTTATTATTTATTAAATTTTTTATCAAATTCGAACTCGAGTACCTTAGAATTGGAGGTCGATACTCCAACCACTAAGCTACTTAGAATTTTTTTATTATAATTTACAATAAATTATATTTATATACAAATAAATGTGTATCTATATAAATATATAAATACAATATATTTATATATTTATATATTTATATATTTATATATTTATATATTTATATATTTATATATTTATATATTTATATATTTGTATATTTATATATTTATATATTTGTATATATGTATATTTGTATATTTGTATATTTATATATTTATATATTTATATATTTATATATTTATATATTTATATATTTATATATTTATATATATATTATATATAATTAAATATTTATTTTTTAAATTATTTAATTTAATAAATTATTATAAATTAATCTAATTATGATTAAATTAATTTATTAAATAGAAAAAGTATTTAATTTTTTAGAATATATTTAAAATTAAGTATTATTATATAATTTTACCAACGAGATATATCCTCTGTAAGTAATTGTTAATTTACTTGATGGGTTTCTTGACGGATATATCCGTTGGTAATTAATTGTTAATTTACCGAACGGATATATCTATCGATAATTGATTATTAATTTACCGACGGATTTACTGACGGATATATCCGTCGGTAAGATCAAATTCCACAAATACTTTATATCCATCAGTAATTTCCATCGGTAATAACTAATTTTCCGACCGCTACAAATCTGTCGGTAAAAATTCGTCGGAAATAAGCAATTTTATTGTAGTGAAAGTCAGATATTATTCAATATATATTTACACTTTAAAAACATAATTAATGAAAAAAGAGAGACAAAGTTACCCTTATAACATATTTTTCATTTCTTGACTCTTTGGTGCAAAGAACAAAACTACGCGACATTATAATTTCTTGACATGATTACAATTAATTGTCAATGGAACCTACATTATATGACATAAAATTAGTTATGAAATAAACATGATGACAAAAATACAAATTAAAGTACTAACCCTTTCACAAAGACACACATAATGATATTTCACACTATAACCACTCAAAACTACCGTATACTGGAAAATTATTTATTATACAAAATAACATTGCACGTAACTTAAAATTGACTTGACGGTATGCATCAAATATCTCCACTATTGTTTCCCACAACATCTTCAAATCATCAATCAAAGAAATAAGATATGCATCTATGTTTTCTTTTCATCATAAATAACATAATATATTTTCTTTTCATATATAACCAAGGAGACAAATTATAAATGATCAACAAAACTGACCATAAACTATATTTACTACTTAAATTACCATAAGTATTCATGTCATTTATAATTAATCCAATTCTCAAGTTTTCTTACTACATCCCGAATTCTGGAAATGTTTCATCAATCATCTTCCATTGTGAATGATCAACTGAATGTTAAAGATTGTCATATTTTGTATCACTCACATGTCATGTCAAGTTTCTTGTATCTTCTTTTATGACAAATAATATTTTTAACCTAGGTATTATTGGTAAATACCATAACACCTTAATAGGTGGGCGATCTATTTCTTCCTCACCACTATTTTCATCAACTTTGTTTTTTAATCGCGACAAACAATATGTCAGACATATCTTTAATGTAGCAAAATCATTTCTTTATAATAAGCAATAATTAAGGCATGCAAATATTCCCTTGTACTCTAAACTCATTAGACATATTATCTTCTGGTCTCATAGTTACGATTAGGTAATGTGTTATCTTCGGAAATTATCTCCTTTACCAACTTCAATAATTCGGTAAAATTTTTATCAGTTTAAACTGAACAATCTTAAAGTTGTTAATAAACTTGTAAAACTACATCTACAGTAGCTCAAAATCAGATTTCAAATAATCATACAGATATATTTTCTTAAAATTTTTTGTTGTTGACATAGTTGAAATGTCTATATTGTATAACTTTTAACAATACCATAAATAAACAAGTAATCACATATATCTCTAAGTTCATGACAAATTTAATTTAAACAACAAATGCATATATAATAATATGTTCTTTTGATAGGTTTTTCATTTTCACGAATAAATTTCAAAAATTCCTCAACTCCCTTTTCGTATTTTTTCACTAATTACGATTCATAGCTACCTATGTTATAAATTTTCTTTACTCCTAGAGATTCAAATACAAAATAATATACAAACAACAGTTTAATTTTAATAATATCCAATAAAGACATTTGAGATCCCCATAAACAATCACGGATTCAAGACATAATGCATTCATCCAACTACGATTCGTACCTACTTATATCATAAATTTTCTTTACTCCTAGATATTCAAATACAAAATAATATACAAACAACAGTTTTATTTTAATAATATTCAATAGAGACATTTGATATCCCAATAATAATATTCAATACATAATGCGATTTTACATTAGGTACAACATCACCCTCCTTAAAAAAATAGTTTTTAAGTCACCTGTAAAGTCTAAGATAAAAGTCACGTCTCTTGTTTATAAAAATGCTACCCCATTTTTTTTTTAAAGTAAGTTACTTTTGGGTATGATGAGATTTGATGTAGGTTATGAGATTTGATGTACCGCATTATGTATTTTTTACATAGGTTATTTTTGGGTCTGATGAGATTTAATGCTACCGTATTTTATAAGTAGGTGGTTATTTTTGGTCTAATGAGATTTGAGTATGTCGGATATTTTTAGATAACGAGATTTGAGTAAAAAAAAAATATTTTTTAGTGAATATATGTGTGAAAATTTGCTTGAAGAATTAAAAATGGCAAAATCAAGAGGGGATTTGATTTAAAAGAACTATTGTTTGAATCGCTACATTTAGAATACTTTTTGCAGAGACATTTGACATACCAAATTAATATAATCAGTAAGATTTTAATAATTGATCTATCCTACTCAATCAATTCAACTAGATTCATTTATCTTATTTAAAACAAATATTGAGAGACATGTCAAAATTATATATTAAAAATATGATTGTAAAATGCACTCTGATTATGTATTAAATTTGGATCTCATTCCTAAGCAATTCTCTCAAAAACATACATTTTTTTTTCTAATTTTACATTTTTTTTATGTATTTTCTACTTTTCATATATCTTCCTTTTCTGATTCATTTTTTTCTTTTTCTTTTTTCCCTGTTTTTGTATTCTGTTCGACTAATATCACAGGACATTGAGCAAAATATATTATTATTTCAGCAAGATAAACTAAACCAAACTACAATTAAGAGAAAAAAGTTATATATATTCCATAAAAATATTCTAAAAAGTAATTAATTAAATTCCCAGGTCTCCTTTTGTAAGCTTATAATTTTTTATTCACCAACACTCGGAAGAATACTCGGAAGAGAAATATTTAAAAGCATAAGAAAATCACGAGCCGGCTGGTCAAACTTGTAAGTGTCTTATTGTCGACATACATTTCACACAAAATATTATTCTTTATTGCTCAAGAATCAAGTTTCATATATATATAAATATTGGTCCATTCAATGCATCCAACTCTGGCAATTCGTGACAACTTGCAGGTAACAAGGAAACAGGAAGCTTCATTGAAAGCAAAAGATAAAACAACTTTATTGGTGCAAGAGTTCAGAAGTGCCTCTGGCCAAGGTTTACCAACAACATGAAATAGCAAATGTGCGAAACAAAAACAAAACGATAATAATTATGATGAATGAAACATTGCAAAAATTCTCCACAATTTGAACTTGATTGAGTAGATTAATTAATGGGAAGAAATCTTGTGATAAAGGGACTTGTTGAACCAAGACTTCCAACTGCCATTTCCCCTCCGAGGAAGTGCAGCTGTGGGCCCACTTCCTTCATCAGCCACTGTTGCCTCATTCATATTCTCTGTCTTCTTGCATAGCGTGAAATTCCTCGCTCCATGTGATCCAATTGTATCCCACGGACTCAAAGCTGCATCAACGTCAAAATCAAAACATAAAATTCACATGTCATTCTTTCCTATTTGCACCACAATTCAGGATCTTTATCAGCCTTCCTCGCATAGCAAAAACATTATTTCGTTGAATGTTTGAAAAAGAATTGTTCTTTTCTTTGAAATTGGCTTTATGAAAACATGGTTATTAATTTTGTATTGTATTTCGCATCGAGATGCTCCAATGACACTATCCGCAATTAAAGGAATCAAATTACCTAAATTCAACGAGTAATTTCAAACAACCATGAAAAACAATTGATGTTCTAAGTGCCTACGCGAGATCGATTGAACCTAATTTATCTTCCAATGCACCACTTACAATCATGGATCGGAGAATTCACATGTAAAACAAATTATCAAAATGTATTCCAAGAATCAAACCTGGCATTCATCATAAATTCTCAACCTCCCCAAACATTAACCACATGTTTGAACACGTGAACCAATATGTTAAAATCAATTTTCACAAAGGGAAGAATAAACTTGACCTACAAAGTGCAAACCTAGAAAATTCTGAATGAAAAAAAAAAATCAAGATCCTCATTAAACGTGAAAAGGCACGTTGAAATTACCAGATTTGAGAATTGAAAAAAAAAAAAAAAGTGGTTGGTGGAATTGAGGGGAAAATTACCATCTGGTCCAAGATGGGGGCAGTAGAGGGAGAATCCGGCGTTGTCAGTCCCGAGCAGAGGAAGGCGCCCCTCCCGCGCATAACTCTTGAGCGTGGTCTCGATAACCGCAGCGACGAGATCCTCCTCGTTCACCACGAACCGAATGGGCCCCGCACTCCCCAGCACGTTGATGCTGATGAGGAACCTCCTCACGTTCTGGTTCTTCTTCTGCTTGCTCAACAACATGGTGTCCCAAATTCAACAAAGAAAGAAATAAACAAGAGAAAACAAGGATCCGAAATTTCGAGATCTGAAAATCAAAGGGACGAAGAAGGTTTTTGTTTTGAATAAAAACTTCAAGTTATTTGGACGAGGTTGAATTTAGGGGTCGACGCCGAGGCAGCGGTAGTACCAGCCTTGTTTGCAGGAGCCGAAGAGAGAGGAAGGTGAGAGAGCGCTCGCCCTTGAAGGGGAAAGGGAGCGCATGAAACCGAAGGAGGACGAGGTTTCTACCATTCACAACGAGGGAACGATCTTGAAGGGAATTGGAGCGATTGAGATTGGTGTTGGGTTAGGGTGTGAGGAAGATGAAGATGAATAAGAGGGTATTTATATACAGGGGAAAGAGAAGATGCGTTCGGATTCAAATTTGTATTTAGGGTGGGGTGAGGTCAGGGTTGGGCTGGATCTCATTCTACACCGAAACTGTTGCAAACCCTACGTATCATTGCATCACATCTGTTATTCTACAAATTAGGTTCAATTTTTAATTACTTTTTTGTATTTTCATTTATAATTACTGTTTATTAGTTTTAATGGAGAAATAGGTAAGCTAATTTCGTCTTTATCTTTATAACCTTTTCTAAGGACCATCTTCATTAAACGATACAAATATTAAGTAAATAATTAATAACTTATTGAAACCTATTAAGCAAACAATTAAAATTTAACTATTAACATTTATTAATTATTAAATTTTTATTAATTAAATAATTAGTAAAGCTAAAAAATATTAATTAAATAATTATGATTAAAAATTTACCATTTACAACTTAAAATACTACAAATATATTAATTTGTTTAGTTACTAATTATAATTTAAATGATTGCAAAATAAAGCAATTTATTTTGTTAAAAATAATTTCAAAAAGAAATTAAAATAAAACAAATACTATATTCTTATTCTAATTCGCTTTTTCCTTTTAATTTTAATTTATTTATTTATATTAAAATTTAATAAATTAAATATCTATAATATAAAAAGTCATAGAGTATGATTAAAATTAACATAAACTATATATATACGGGTTTTCATCTTTACTTAATATAAAACTTATTTATACTTATATTTAGATTTTTTTAACGCATTTTAAAGTTTAATATTTCAATTAAAAATATAATTAATCGTCTTGTTCAACTTTAGTGTGTTAATTTTAAAAATATATATAATTTTAGACCAAGAGATATATATATATAGTTCAAAATGTAGTAAAAAGGAAAAAAAAAGTTTAACTTCGCGTGTGCGACCACCCTTGCTTGTAGGGTGGTGAGAGGGTTTTATTGAAGCACGAGGATGGATCGCACGTTCAATTACCTGTGAAAACAAAACTCATATTTATGTATATTTGGCTTTTCCTTTCACTCATTTGTTTTGAAACAACATTAAAATCAACGTTGTACCTGTAAAAAAGAAAAAGCGGTGTACGTAAATACCATTAAAATGTCTCGTTTGTGGGTGGTTTTTCTGCACTGTAGTTTTCAGGATTTTGTTTTAGCACTGTAGTTTACCGGCTTTTGGAAGGATTGAATTGGGTCATTTTACCAAACACTTTCTGGTGTTTAATTTGGTGCAAAAGTTTGTCGACACGAGAGTTGTGTATTATTGAGTTTCAATGGACAATAGTATTCTGGGTCTTCTCAAATTTCGAATTATAAGAGGAATTAATCTTGCAATTCGCGACGCCATTAAAGGACGCGCCAGTGACCCTTATGTGGTCCTCAACGTCGGCGATCAGGTTCGAACCCTGCGATTTCTAAACTGGAATTTGGAAGAGAGTGTCCCATTAATCTTGGAGTAAAGAATTATTATTATTTCCAAGAATATTTTTTTCATGGACCTATTTAATGGGTACACGAAACTTTCATAAGAAAATAAGTTAATTTAAAATTAGAGTTGTCATGGTATCGGATAACACGAAAGATTTTGGTTCAATTATCTTTTGGCATATGAAAAGAAAAGAAGACGTACGTTGAATTCATTTTGAAATAATATTCTGATAAAAGTGTTAAATTCTTTCTAAAATGTTAAGTTTGTCCATAAAATTTTATCAAGTTAAATTTAGAATCTTGCATCTCATTGAAAACTATCAAATAGATGGTTTTGAACAGAACAGTTTTGGGTTAATGCAGAAGCTGAAGACTTCTGTTATAAAAAACAACTGCAATCCTGAGTGGAATGAAGAAAGGACCATTTCTATAAAGGATGTTACAACCCCAATACACCTTGTAAGTACTCTTGCAAATCAACAGAGACAAGGCTAATGATTAAATTTTTGTAGATTGATGGAGGATATTCTTGTAGAGTTGCTCATTTACATAGATTGAAAAAGAACACTCTCTTATGCTTCTGAGGCTGCTGTTGTATTGTAGCAGAGAAGAATAGGTGAATGATTGATGATGGGTTCTGCATTTTGTTTTGTTGTGCAGTCAGTTTACGACAAAGACACGTTCTCAGTGGATGACAAGATGGGAGACGCAGACATAGACTTGAAGCCCTATATTCAGTGTGTGCAAATAATGGGGTTGAATAAGCTCCCAAATGGTTCTGTTGTCATGACCTTTCAACCAGATGAAACCAATTGCCTTTCTCAAGAAAGTTGCTGCATTTGGCGAAACGAAAATATCGTCCAAGAAATGACTTTGGGATTGAAAAATGTTGAGAGTGGGGAATTAGTTGTGGAAATTGAGTGGGTTGATGTTATTGGTTGCAGGGGCTTATCACATTTACAATTTTAAGCTGCTTCCATCCTCATGTGAAGCATTCAAACCTTGCATGCAACTCCAACATCATGCATCCGAATGTATTCCCAACTCCATGTTCTTTCCGTTAAGAAATTTATGTAATATTTTTAACATATTAGATAAATAGTGTTTAAAGTACATTTATACTTGTAAAAACCAAAATCATCTTAATATTTTTTTTAACTATACCAAAACTTTATTTCTCGTTCACTTTTATTATTATTATTATTATTATTATTATTATTATTATTATTATTATTATTATTATTTAATTTCAGAGTATTTTAGCCAATGAAATTAAATCTAAAAAAAATTGTTAATTTTCCTCTACTCGACCTGATATTTTTTTAAGAAAGATATATTTTATAAATATAAAAAATAATAATAATTTAGAATAATAATCATTAATATATAAATAAAATTTACAAATCGATTTTATAAGATAAATAGATGAATTATTTTATATGATATAAGATTTCAACCCACGTTCTTTTATGAGAAATATGAAAGATCTTAAATTTTAATAAATAATATTTTCAACAATAATAATATAAACTCAAAAAATTATTATATGAGATTTAATCAAAAATAATATACAATATTATTTAATTATACAAGTAAATCATTATTATTCTAAATTATTATTAGTTTTTATATTTGTAGAATATATCTTTTTAAAATATATATCAGGTTGAGTAAAGGAAAATTAACAATTTTTTTTAGATTTATGTTCATTGTTTAAAATATTCTAAAATTAAATAATAATAATAATAATAATAATAAAAAGTGAACGAGAAAAAAGTTATTATATAGTTCAATCTAATATTAAAATTTGACATGGAATAACTTTGCATTGTGGTTCCTCAAAGTTGATTTATTTTCAGGTATCTTTAACGAAGGAAAATGAAACAATTTATACATATACTTTCGTTTTAAAAAAAATTATAGAAAGGGTAATATATATATATATATATATATATATATATATATATATATAGGGTTGAAATTTTTTATTGGAGATTAACATTTTTACCAATTTATAAAATTAACTTACAAAACATATCCACATAACTAATAGCAACTAGAATATAGTTATTAATCCAGCAATTACAAGTAACATAAATATTTCTTCTGATTTTAGTGAAAATTTTATTTCTAAATATATGTGATTTGCAAAATTTAATATTATATTAATTACTTTTGAATCAATTATATCTCTATCTTTTTAATATAGTTATTATAGAGAGAGAAAATAATAAATTATTAAGAATGATTTTGGATAAATAAAGGATTAAGATAATAGAGATATTAATGAAAAAAATGTAATAAATTTATAAAAATAATAAAAAATAATATTTATCTTGTGTAACATAATTTTGAAATATAATATATTTTAAAAGGAGTAGATGATTGGATTGAGAGAAGATGTGAGGTGAATATGTTCTGACACAAGTAACAATGGACAAAAATTTGAATATTATATTTAAGAGACTAATTAATGTGTGATTATTACTCACGACTCCTTAATTAGCAGGTATTAAAATTCAAGATTGTCAAATAAACCTTTAAATAAACTTTGAAGCAAATAAAGAAAAGATAAACACTTTCATGTTAATTAATGATAATTAAGCACTCATTAAATGTTTAAGGTTGTATTTCTTTGTCCTTCATTCATTTTCTTGTTATGAAGATTGACTTGTCACAAAATTCTTAATGTCTTCAGAGAGTCTACTAATTAATGATTTTGGTCATGTAATATTAATTGATTTTAATCAATTTACAAGTAATCAAATCTTAAGAAAACATTAAGTATAATAGAATAATCAAATCCCATTAAATTAAAGGAAACAAATCACAATCATAAATTAGGGTTACAAAGAGAGTAGCGTCACAACCCTAACCCAACAAATTAACTCTACATAATTTGAGAAGAGTTATAAGAATTGTGTTCAGTATCCTTAAAGATTCACCACCTTAATTCTCTCAAAAATCAAGAAAAAAAAACCCTGAAAGTATTATAAAAAGACAAAGTTTGGATAAAAATTTATGAGTTGATATATTTTACATCAAGGATTATATATCTTATCTTCATCACCAAATAAACTTTTAAAGATTTTTATAAAGAAAATAAAAATTATAATCGTTGTGGTATCAAATTGAAGGGAAAAGAATAGGGTAAATAATTTAGGCAATTAATAAAATTTACTTTAATTTGTTATTAGATGAGAAAAACCACTGTGAGATGGAGCATGGTTGTAGGATCGTTGAAGCAGGAGGATCACACATAACTAATGAAATCAAAATAATTAAATTGTCTAAAGATTCCTTTGGAACCCAGTTATTGTAGGGAACACGAAGGTGAGTTTCAATGGACAATACTGTGTTGGTGTTTCTGGTGGTATTCTGAAATTTCGAATTAAAAGAGGTATTAATCTTGCAATTCGCGATGCCCGTGCCAGTGATCCTTATGTCGTCGTCAAGATGGGTGATCAGGTTTAAATCCTGCAATTTCTAAGCCCTAATTTTCCTTTCAAGTTTCATTTAATGAATAGTGATTCTTTGTTTTTTCAACATTTTTTTGAGATTTTGTGATTTGCACTATGATGGGTTTTGAAAATCATGCATTATATTTCCTGATAAAATCTGTTCTTCTTCTTAACCATTATCCTGAGACATTAATTAAGAAATTAAATAAAATTACTGATATTTTACTATAAAAAATAGATTAAATTAACTGAGTTTTATCCTCCTCATAAGTAAGTCTAAAGATTTATCTCATAATTGATACAGAAGCTGAAGACTCGTGTTATAAAAAACAACTGCAATCCTACGTGGGATGAAGAATTTACCCTTTTTGTAAAGGATGTTAACACCCTAGTACATCTGGTAAGTTCCGGTGCAAGCTAAATCACTCAAAGATGTCATGTCCTAATAACAAATATTTAGCCATTAAGACTTATCTTTAAGCTCTGATAAACTTACTCATCATGAGTACTTGTAGAAGAAAAAAAAGTTACTTTTCTAATAAATTAAGATAAGCTGCTTAGAGTAGTTTTACTTAATTGAAGTTGTTATTTAACTGTGTAAAAGTTAAGGTGATTGATTGATGGGTTTTGCAATTTGTCTTTCCATGCAGACAGTTTATGACAAAGACACTTTCACTGTGGATGACAAAATGGGGGAGGCAGAAGTAGATTTCAAACCATTACTGAAGTGCAAGATGATGGGATTGAAAAACCTCCCAGATGGTTGTGCAGTCAAGAGGATCCAGCCAAATAGAAGTAATTGCCTTGCTGAAGAGAGCTCCTGCATTTGGAGAAATGGTGATATATTCCAAGGAATGATTTTGAGATTGAAAAATGTTGAGAGGGGGGAACTGGTTGTGGAAATGGAGTGGGTTGATGTTGTTGGTTGCAGGGGCTTATCACATGTACAACTTTAACCATGTTTTCATATGAAGCATTCAAACCTTGGATGCCAAACTTCAGAGCTTATGATGGGGTATTAATTTAATGTATTGTGATGTAACCTTTGTTTGCTTTTGTTGATTTTATAATCCTATGTTGCGACTAACATGTAATAAAAGAGATTGTATATATTTTAAGAGTGAATAAACCAATATAAAATACTAGTAGTGTTTCTTTTTTCCTTTCGTATTATTTTCTGGTCTGGTTATGTGTTTTCGTGAAACAAATTTAACCTTGTGTATTTACTTAACCTTGGTCTATGTTGAATGTTTGATCCTAATGATTTTGTTTTTATTGTCAAAAACTAGTTACATTCATTAACTAGTAGACGTAATCTTTTTCACCTATGACAATATTGTAAGGCCTAAATCACTTGACATCCCCACGTCCCAACCTTGATAAAGCTTATAAGATCCCTAACAAAATCAAGTCCCAACCCAACTTCATATAGCTTATGACATACCTACCAAAGTCAAGTCAGTAATCTTTTATCAACGAGATAATACGAAGAGAATATATATAAACACGAGAAAAAAAAATCTAACATTTTAAGAAAAAAACAAATTTCATAATTTTAAACAAAAATTACTCTAATAAATTTATAGATTTCAATGTCTTTAAAAAATTTCCATCCGAAAATTATCATAATGCATTTTAACTTCACCAAAAACGAATTTTCCAGACTTTTTCAAATCGAATAAAACCCACCAATGACATAATTGGATGTTAACTTTTTAAGTTCTTCTCTTTAAAAGCCGAAATCTACCCTCTTTTGAGGCAGAAAAAGACAAACCCACCACATGATCATGCCAAGGGATAGGGGTGTAAATTTTTCTGCAAAATTTAACAGAAATGTATGCATCATGGATATTATAGTACGTATTTTAATTATTAAATATATAATTATTAAAGTATAATCTTTACCTTGGTATTCTACTATCTTTTTTCCATAATCAGCTTTAAAAATTAGAACATTTAAGAATAATTTAATAATTATGTTATATGATCATATTTCTGATATTACTAGCTACATGATTGGATGATTCAAGTCAACAAAACATATATACATATAGTAGCGAAGCATACTACTTGAGAAAATCAGAGACGTCCGTCCTGGATCTAACTAATAGCGTGGATGTAGTAGACAAACCATGCTTTTTGTCAGAAATCGTTAGGTTTTCACCTTTCTTACTTCGTTTTTGTTCTTCATCCGAATCCCTTGAGCTTCCAAATATCTGCACTGCTAAGCTTCCCCCTACAAAATTATTCAATATAAAATAAATGTAGGGATGCATATCACGAATTGTCACCGTGTGACCACAATGTTGCTGCAATAGCATCAATACTCACAAGAGTAAAAAATATATGATTGAATAGTGTAAAGACTTTACAATCTCCGATTACATAAAAGTAATAAACCTAGCATAATTTTTAATTGGATGACAGTGTATATTTTTACAGAGTGCATGAATATTAAACTGAATTCATAATATTATAGAGCTTTCAGAGTGTTTTATTATTTCCCATTATGCTTGAAAGATGTATGCATTCATAATATTTAACAGAAATATTGGGTCATTTGGACAAGTAAAATATCAGTATGTGGAGGGGTTAAGAGTGACAGCGACCGCATGTGTAGTATGAAAAGAATTGAACATAAGAAAGTGAGAAGTTTCATGAGCTGAGTTCACAGAATAAAGATTTGTTGGATTTAGTTTCAATCATATGAGCCCAACTAAACGGTATGATCCTTTAGTGTCACGTCATGAGAACGGACCTGACGATCTTATTCCCTCAGCAATGCCTACTAATTTCAAAGTCTCATCTCAACAACAGCAATGCAGGGTTCTAAAGCAACCAAACTATGTGCAGTCAGGCCTCTCAAACTCTCAATGAAAGTACCACTTGATGATAACTTACTAACAGTATTAATTTTGTAATGAAAGAAGATACAAGAATGGCCTAAAAACAAAATCTTATACACCTTACATTATTTCCATCATTTCAATTCAACTAAGTTCTCTGTCTCTCTCTCTAACTACTTTTGGTTCTGTAACTGCTTCTCTCTCTACTACGGACTTTCCCTTCTAATTTCCTCCCTTCTCTTTTCTGCTGATTGCGGCTGGATCACATCATAATATATACTCTAGATATACGCAATACTAACTGACACAAACACAACACTGACACAGACATCACAACTAATGACTAAAATATAGGACATGGTAACACCCCTGATATCTTTATATAATCAAAATGACAAAAATTGCAATTGAGAATTAGGATTCATATAATTCTCACTTAAAAAATAAATTTGACAAATTTTACAATTTTCCTATAACATCGATCCTCACAATAGAATTCTAAGAAACACGACCCTTAATAGTTAAAATAACTAGTTAAGTTTCTTAAAAAACAAACTTCAAAAAAAATTATGAGCCTTATAATATTTTTAATGAGTTGTCTTCTTTAATTTCTTTTTAACTTTTTATTATAGCACTATTTAGGAAGTGTTTAGCCAAGACTAAGTGTCTGCTCAATCTCTTTACTTGTGCTCAGATTGTGTCGAAGAAGTGTCTAAGCTGAAAAAATATTTTTTAATTGTGACACGGTAAGGATTGTAGGACATGTCAAAAGCATGCTCAACAAGCGTCATGTCCAAAATGTGTCAAACACATGTCCCACTATTTTACATAGGTCACGGCGTATCCTAGATTATGTCAAACCTTGAAGACTCTCCAACATATAGTCAATGAGATAATCATAGTATAAGAGGATCAGAAAGTATTAAATCATACAACTGGGACATTCAAATTATTATACCTAGCACAAGGGCAGCACCAACCCATCCTGTGGGACCCCACCTTTCACCAAGAAGGAACCATGCAAAACCGGCACCCCAGACTGGTTCCAGACCATAAATTATTGCAGCTTCTGTGGCCGATACATCACACATTGCAGTCATCTACAATTGAATCTAAGAATCCATATTAAAACAATGAATCTTCGCAAATAAAAACATGGTTATAAGGAAACATGGAAAAGGAATTGACAGCTACATGATAAATAAAAGTATACATTTTGGAAAAAGAATTACTAAGAGAATGAAGAAAGATACATAGAAAGGAGGGTAAGAAAATCTCATACAAGATTTAAAGGTTCAAACAGGAGAAAGATAGTGAATACAGGACATAATAGTAGTAACATATAAAAGATTTAAGTATAACATTTAAAATTATGGGAGCAATTTATAGAATATATATTATATTAAAAAAAATTAAGAAACTTGAGGGGGAGATTGTCCCCAAAAGGCTAAATATGGATCCGCCATTGCATAGCAATCAATCCCAAATAATAGTAGAGTAGCCAACCCCGAATACCTTGTAAGAGGATAGTTGGATGACCACTAATTTGAAGCTGAGATACTTTCCTCAGAAAAACAGAATCATGAAACAATAGAGTATATGAGGTTTGGTTTTTGTTCCCGTTAATTCATTTTAAGTTTGCAATTAAAAAAATTGCTACTTATTTATTGTTCTTTTTTCAGAAAACAAATAATGAAATGAAGAGAAGTAATTTCACTTTTAAAAATAAACAAAAATAAATCAATACTAAACACCCACTAAGTGAGGCAAGATTGATAACTTTACCTCAACCCACAAGCATATACCAGTTGAAAATATCCCGGTATAAATTGCTGGTATCCATGGAAAACCAATCATCCAGTCTCTAAGCATTTTCATCGTCCAAGATGATGGAAAGGGATGCTGGGAACCATTCATGTAACCTCCAAGAAGATACCATATTACAGAAAACAAAACAACCATGCAGATCTGCATTTAAAACTTTAGAAAAAGTAAATATTGCGAAAGGTAAACCCAGAAGGGACTTGTTTTCACAGACACAAACACATATGAGAGAAAAAGTGACATTTCATGGACAAGTAACTAACTGACCTCATATCCAAGGAGGGGCAGAAACTTCTTCTTACTTATGCTTCTTGATATATGTTCAGTTCTTAACATATGAATGCCAAAAAACACTGCACTTAAAAAGTTCAAAAGATCTCCAACCTGTATTCAGCATAACATTTAAACGAGTTAGAGGAAACAAAAATAACTATCAAGAAGGCTAAGCATTCAGGTAATGTTTATCCATAGTCCTTATTTAGGTAATGTTTATCCATATTATGATAGGTTCTGAATTAAAAGTGAAAAATGGAGGGAAACAACTAGGAGCAAGCTCCTGGAATTATTAACTGAAATGTATAAAAATAGGAAAGCAAAAAAAAAGAAAAAAAATATCAGGTAAGTGAAATGCTACCTCTGCCCTACAGCTTCATCCACCCAGTCAATTCACATGATCTACTCCCCAGTGCCCACCTCCATCCACTCCCAATCCATTCCCTTCATATTAAGGCTGTGTTCCACGATTCAAACACCCTAAAATGACTCTTAGCTCCTAAGTATCCATTCAATTAGAGCCACTTTTTCTTGCATAACAGTCTGGTCCACCATACTTCGAATCTCATTACCCATCCCTATTTATACTCTCATTACTACTAACCTGATCCAGAGGATAATGATTTAAAGGCTTATTGTTTCATAGATCTTGCCATAAATGAGAAAAAAAAAAAAGACGAGGAATACATCAAAATGAAGTTCAAACTTACACATGGAGACGAACCACTGGATTCCAGCATTCCAACTCCTACAATCGACATTAGGGCTCCAAACCAGGTTCTAGCTGGAACTGCTGATCCAAGCAGGCCATCAAGTAACGGAACCACGATAACCTATTATTTCAACCAAATATTCACAATGTACTCGTTTAAAATACTCTCATGAAGGAGAGGTCACTCATATAATATATAAAATTCAATTATCTCACAGTGAACATAGATAAAAATGATGCGCGGCCAGCATCAGAGGTTTGTAGTCCAAGTGCCTGCATAAGATATCCCAGACTGACCCAGATACCCAATTCTATGCCTGAATTTCTGGTACAAGAATCTCCCCACCCTCGCACTACAAATGGGATGAAAGGAATGGCAGAAAGGGCAAAGCGCACAAATGTGAAAGCTGCTGGATTCATAATTGCTTGAACCTCTTTGACAACTGGAATGTTACTAGCTAAAAATAAATTGACAAGGAAATAGTAAGATTATAAGATGTACAAAGGCACGGAGATCATTTAAAAAATTACATGTTTCAGCACTCAAAATATCTCTATTAATAGCAATAAACGTAATTGCAAATATACAGGTCTCCATGACACAGAACATGACAACAAATAATTTGTAGAAAAATAATGCTTTACTTGGCAGTCCAAGGACATGTTCTGATCTGTTATAATAAATATGTTAAAAGAGAGAAAAATAGATACAAAAAACGCCGGAACCCTGTAACAAAAACTACACAACAGAACTCATTTATGTAGGCTAATTGTAATAAATATAAATAATTGTAGGAAATTTTATTCCTATATACATGATATAATATGTCTATAAATCAAATTCTAATAAATCTTATTCTAATAGGATATCCCTATAATTACAAAGATCCAAATTGAGAAGGAAACAAATCATAAAATAACAGGTTAAATCCTGAGATCTGCCTGGATACTCTAAAATATTCTAAGCATATCATCGTATATTTTTCATATTTCTAACGAAACCAAAATTTTGACAATGTATAACAAATGTAATCAGTTGCTTAGCTAGTATTTGCCTGGCTGATAATCTTTGTTGGATCTCCCCTCCCAACCACATTTTTTCCATTCAGAAAAAATTGAGCTTAGACATTTAATAAAATGAACTAAATCGCTTGTTATATAGCCCTAGAGCAACATGACAAGTAAATAAATGCACTAAAACACTTCATGCTCATAGCTGATACCATTCCCCAGTCTGCACATGGCCATAAGCTTACGCAAATAAAAGCATTAATCATTAGACCACATCTTCAGCTACATTGAATTTCATAATTAATTTTCATTAACCATTCCCAGAAACAAAGAGAGGGAGATTAGCTAAGACAAGGAAACAAAGGAAGGTTACCGTAAATAAAAGTGATGACATTAAGCAAAATGATGCTCTTCACTTTCCGCGATGGGAACAGAATCCTCCGCAAGAGATACGGCTTTCGGAATCCGAAAACGGAGTTGAAACACCGGGCATGCGTCGGGTTTTTACCCGAACGGGTCTTCTCATTCTCCGGCGTGGGATCCGAATTCAAGTCTTGAATAACCGGCTTGCTCGACCTGTGACACGAACTGGATGTAATTGGCGAAGAAGAGTGACGCGGGCTCTGTCCGTGAAAAGAGCAATAGGGGAAACGATGCGGTTTGGTGAGGAAAGGGTAAAGAAATGAGGAATTGTGCCTGGAAGGGTTTCTAGAAGCGTCGAGGTAGAAGGGTGCGCAACCGTGCGAGCGCAAAGCCATGGTTGGGTTGGGTTACGAGGATGACCGAGGAAAAAAATCTGTGCTTTGTGACAGTGTCATGTGATCGGATGTCACCCTCAATCAACAATTTTCGAACGAACAGAAGCAACACAATTTCCCCACGTGTATGATGAGAGGTGAAACAAACACCTGTTCGCGGATACAAAATTGTAGTTTTATTAGATATATGCGGGAAATCGTTACATGTATTTTAGTTGCGTGTTTCTTAGCGGGAGGGATAATAATAATAATAATTTTATATTAATATATTAATAAAAATATTAATTATTAAAAATAATGTAGATTTTAATAATTAATAACAAACAAATTCTTAATCATCTTAAACTCTTAAATAGTCCAATTTATCATCGGTCTAGTGTATTTATTACAGTTTACTAAAAAAATAATAATATATCATATAGGTAATATATTTAAAAAAATTATAAAAATTAAAATAATTTTCTCTTTTTTTCTCCTTTTGTTCTAATTTATTCTTCACATTAAAATATATATTAAAATTTGATAAAAGCATATTAAAAATAGGAAAATATTAACTAATTATATATCGAATGTAAATAATTTTATTAGTTTCGAAAAAAAAATCCATAAAATTATTAATAAATAAAAAAAAGTATATATCACGATTTTAAAATCTACTAATACAGATTTTTTTAATAAAATATATATTATTTTTAGTTATATATTTGAATTTTAACAAAAATTATTTTAATATATTTCTATTAAATTTTAATACAGTATTCTTAATTAGAAGAATAAACAAATAAAATAATAAATAAATAAAAATAAAAAATCACGAGAACGAAAAGAATAAAAAAGAAAAAATTATTATTTTATGTAAAAATTAATTTTAATTTTAATAATTATATATATATATATATATATAATAAACATGACTATTTAAATAAATAAATTAATTAATAAAAATTATATTTGATTTTTTTATTTTTTTAAATACTATTTATATGATTAACTTTGTTTTGGTAGAGTTTGTAATTATATATTTAACAATAGGAATCGTATAATAAATGTGAATCCAAGATGTTCTTATATTCTTTATATTTAAGTTTTTTTAAAATAAATATTTAAAAAATCTTATAAAAATTATTGAGATTAAAAGTTTAATAAAATATATTTTTAAAATATATATTATTTAGCATTGTCAAAATAAGTCATTTGGTCTAATTTAATCATTATAAAAAAATTAATGATTCAATTTAATTTATAATTTTAAATAAATAATAAATTATTATCTAATTTGACAATATGTTAAAATAATGATAAATTTTTGTTGAATTAAAATAAAAAATATTTTATATTAAAATAAATAATTAAAAAATATGTAAATAAAATTTAAAATAAAATATATTTTTAAAATATAAATTATATTAATAAAATTCTTTTTTATTTTAATTATAATGATTTAATATATAGATTATAAAAAAATATTAATTATTTTTTTTTATAATTTATTAATATAAAATAATAATTCATCTTAATATTTTAAGTAAATATTAAAAATTTATTTATATTTATTTTTAAAAGGAATTAATTTTTATTAAATTATTTATAATAAAATAATATTTTTTATTTAAAAATAATTATTATTTAAAAAAACAAATTATTTATAAATTTATGAATTAGTTTTATTATTATAATATAAATTTATTGTACTAAAATATATTGAATTCAATTTAAATCAATAAATATTTAACCTAATTTCTTCTATTTTTCATATTTTTATGGTGATTTTGCCGTATTAAATTTATTTTTACATTTTTAGTGTTATTTTATTACTTAAACGAAATTAAAAGATATTAAACTAATATAAAATAAATTAATCAATTAAAAGATGTTAAATTAATATAAAAATTTGAGAAATTTAATTTAATCACGACATCTTATTACTTCAAGGAGCAATTCTGGTAAATTGTTTTTAACCTTGAAAGAGGTAAAATATGGATATATGATTACGAATCATTTTTAAATAATTTATTATTTATTTTATTTTATTAAAAAAATTCTTAATAATTTATAAATAACACATTCTCTTCTATTTTTATTTATTTTTATAAATTAGTTGATAAAATAAACGGCAGATCCTTTCAATCCTTCGGATTTCGAAGTTGCGAGATGCCAAGTCATATTGCAGAACTAATACTTTGACTTACTGGAGTCAGAAAAACTAGAGAACTGGGAACAGACAAAGACGAAAACTCATAAATCTAAATAGATTACAAAAATGGAATAATTTGAAAGATCAAGAGTGGTTGTTGATCGGGTAAATTTGGGTTTTCCAGTGCGAAGTTGGAAAAGAGAGCGAATATGCGTGGAGGCAAATAGGAAGATTCTTGCGTAAGCAGCATCTTCCTCTCTCTTATTCTATTCCTTTTTCTTTCTTTTTTTTGTTTCTTATAAACTAAAAAATCAACCACCTCCTTCACTTCCCACTCTTTATAAATACAATACACACTTCTGCATTGCTACCTGTTCATTTTCAGGTTCTCTCTCACTCTATCTCTTGCACACATATTGTAAACTTTTATTTTCTTCTTTGTGGTTTTTTAGTTGAGAACAATTCATGGTTTTACGTTTTTTGGAGTTTAATTCAAGGGAAACTTGGTATAGCAATTAGGCCGGTTATATTGTTGTTTCTTCTTTCTCCCTGCCAATATTTTCATCTTCTTCTCATTTAGTTACGCTTATGAGAAGCCTGAGTAATTGGGCAGGTTGTATTGTTGATGCGTTAAGACTCGCGTTTTCCTAATTAATACAGTAATGAGGAATTTGGATCGGGATATAGAAATTGAACTGGGTAGATAGAAAGTAAAATACTCAGTAACATATTAGATTATCTGTCCGTATTCATGATTTGTATCCTTATAATTCGGATTGAGGTTATGGTAATAGGCATATAAATAGGAATTGGTTTTTAAGTTTGATTTTGGTGCATTGATTGTTAGAGGAATTTTGTCGCCAATGGCTACCTGTCTTGTTCTGTTCACCAAAGCATTAAAAGTACTTGCGTGCCTATGATACATAGCTTCTGGGAGATTCTATTTTGGTTGTTTTAAATGTGACAATCTGAAGAGAGATGATGTGGGAAAGATCGCGTTTCTGCTATCTGAAGTTCTTAAGTGTAAATTCTTACGAAATCTGGGATATTCATCTTATGATTATATACATAGGACATATCTAATAAGAGGTTCATTCCAAACTAATTTTAATATAGGACATATCAAGGAAATTTTTACGAATTCAGGAATATTCATCTTTTTTTTTTTTTTTTTTTTAAGTTTGAAGTCAACCGATTTTTGTAATGGCAATTAATTACGAATCACACAAAAAATAGTGGAAGGACACCTGAGTTAAATTCTTGATGATTTCATAATCACTGTCATTAGCAGTTCTTCATGCTTGTATGTTAAAATTTGCTTGTGATTGAAGTTAAAACTAACACGCTGGTTCCATCTTTAATGAAGTAATATCAATATTCTATTTTTAATACAGCATTGTTGGCTAGACTCAACACTCTCCAACAAGTCAGTGCCAGCAACTTCTTGCTGGCACTCAAGTTGGCAAGCATCTTCTGTGGGGGAGGACATGACTCAAAACAGCATACTGAATCATAGTAGAGCCCTTGAGGGTGTCCATGGAGTCCAAGTGGCACCTCATCCACCATTTGGCTTGACAGAAACAAATCAAGGTGGGGACTTTCGTACTTCAACAGGCCAAGCGTCAACTACTGAAGCAAATCAGCTGCTGCTAATGCAGTGAGTGAAATATGTACCCTACAGAAATTTCATACAATTTTTACTTTAGTATAATTTTTTATGACATTGAAAATTTACAAAGCCGTGCACACCACTTACCTACTTTTTACATGTTCACCAGAAGACTGTGGCAACAGAGACCAGCATGCTTGAGACCCATCCATTGTAGTATTAGTTGTCATGGTAATATTGAGATTTATTCTTTCCATTTGATGTCTTTTTGATTTGTTTCCCGTGAATGATCCAATCTCGTGTAAATAATTGTTATACTGCACCACTTTATCAGGTGATCAGACTCTTGCTGAAACAGTTGCTAATGTGCTTACCTCAATTCCTTTTATAGCTCTTGGAATCCATGCCCCCAGGTAATATTTTCCTCCAAGTATCATAAATTCTTTTGGCTAGAAAAATAACTTTTGTAGTCTTATAAATAACTGTGTAATGTAGGAAGAATGCTAGTTCCAAGTTGTATGCTAATTCACTAATTGGAGTTGGAGTGGCGTCAAGCATGTACCATTCTTCAAGAGGAAGGATGAGGAAATTTTTGAGATGGGTTGACTACACAATGATAGCCACAACAACTGTTGTGAGTAACATACAGATGAATATAATTATTGGCTATTCCATAACATGTAAAAACCTGATTATATGTGCTATATTCACCACTACGAAGCATTTATCAATATTGTCAGACCTAATAATTGGAAATTATGCCCCTACTACAGTCAACGAATTAGACTCTGGTTAGGAGAACAAAGATTTTTTTGCAGCTCTACTGATCATTAGCACATCTGCACATGCACTCAATTTAGAAATGTCCTTTTTCTCTGATTTTGTTTCAAGGGACAAATTTCTTGTATATGTTTTACAATAATTAAAGTGAATCTTCATGCCAACTATTGTGTTTCCAGCATGTGGATTGGGTACATATCTAATTTTTTTTTCTAGAGAGGTTTATTCAGCAGACATATAGACGGTGGTTTCTATATATTGCTTTTGTATATTTCTGTCATATCAACAATAATGCCGAGTCACTGAACATGAAGAAAGGGATTGTTTGAATCAGGACCATTCTTTAAAGGATAGGTCTGATTATCATTATGCTATATTCTGAAATAATCAAGTTTCAATATTTTAACTTCTTACAATGGTAAGGATTGCTCAAGCTGTATAAGGATTACATTGACAATTTTCTAGTCAATGTGGATTTCAACGCATCCCTTAATCCCAAACACTTGACATATGGAACATGGACAAATGTGGGTGGACCAATAACAACACCCACTCACACCTATATATAGACATCTAGACCATAGACAAATACAGGCATTCGAGTAATAGATAAAAAATAATAGGCATTGATAATCGTAGAATTTGGACTTTAAGTCTACCCCAAAACCCGACAAACCCAACTTGTAAGATGAGGAAGCCGTATGAGGATTACATTGATTATATCTATGAATGTGTGGGATCTCAAAAGAAATAAGGTCTAGTTGGTTTTTCCCTGGTTTTGTTCATCCTCTATGCCTTTTTTTTTTTTCCTTTTTGCTTTGTAGCTTAAGTATAACAAAGAAATAAAGAAGGCACATTACTTGCGTATTTGGACATGTTTTGTGTATGTGTTGCATTTTTTAGTCATCTAGCATGATATTTCTTTAGGATTTTTTGTGAGTAAATCTACTTGATATCATATTTGAATATAAAAATCATTCTGCAGTGTTTGTCAATGGCCCTCAGAAATGAGAATCCAAAGTTACTGATGGCAGCGTCTGCAATATTTCTTCCAGTTAATCCAATGATGGTTTCAGTTATTCACACTGGGATGATGGAGGTAAGTTTTCCAACTATTTTGTTTATGATGATTTACATTTTATTTATAAATCCTGGTGACCAAGTTAACCGTTAACATGACTGATGTAGGACTCTATAAGACTAAAATTAGAAACACAAACAGGTGATTGTTTTACAGAAACAATCTGGTTTATAGACCAGATTTGCCGTACAAGCACGCAACACAGAAGGGTTTCCCCTTACAAGAATTTTAGATGCAGCCTTGTACTCAAGGCTAAAATGAGGAAAGTTTCCTCTGAAGATCAGTGTTTGAATTACCTCACATTCTTAGTTTTGAGATGGATCATGCCTAACTAGGTCTAATTACCGAAACTGTCGATACTTCTCTAGGTAATTTAAGTTCCATGTTCTACTTGAACACCTGCAATGCATTTTGAATTGGCCTTTTTAGGATGGATTTTATATTTTGGTGAGTCCATTCAAAAACATGGGAGGTGCCACAAGAAAATTGTGGGTGGAGAAAAAAATACTCATTAATTTAAGAAGTGATAGATTAATAAGGGGAGGGTGGTCATGACCCTCAACTTGTTTAAAAAAAACATATAAACCTTCTCTTTTTATATAAATAAAAATATTGAAATATGTAGCCTTGTATAATTTACCCATTAATTTTTATGTATTAATTTTTACTATTCATTCTTGACATTCGAAGATATTTTTCAACTTAAACTTTATCAATGCTTTACATGACTTGCACCACAGGCATTTTACATTCTATAATTTATTTTTCAAGAAGTATTTCTTAACTACTATTAATCTTAACTTATCCTACTATTACTATAAAAAGATTTCTATATAGACACACGCATATTTGAAATTTATACCTTTTTAATTTTAATACATATAATCAAATTAGTAGTTGATTCACGCAATTCAGAATATACTCATTAATTTATACTGTAGGTAACAATTTGAAAAGTTTATTTTAATTTATAAAATAAAATAAAAATCTCTATTTTTACAATACTGAAAATATCTCCTAATAATACTTTATTTCTACATTAAACACGATTTCATCATTGTTTTGTAACGATAATATCTTTTCTGTTTACATATTTTTATTTTTTAAATTCCATATTTAAATTTTCCCTAAATATAAATATGATTTTTCTAACTATTGCTCAAAGACAATGGCTAAGGAATTGATAAAAAAATAATAATAAATTAATTTTTTTATAAGAAATAAGAATGAGAATGCATAATTAACATTGACTAAGCATCGAATATTTTTTTTAAAAACCACCTTTAATTCTTTAATCGGGAATCATGATTGATGGGAATTCCTGAAAATGATTAATGTTTTTTTTTTGTTGCTAAAAATATTTATATTATGACATGTTTTCTAGAACTCAAAAGCAATGTGTTATTTTTCCTCAAGTCTTTAATTTGTCATCACATTAAAAAATTAAATAAGATTATTTTAAGTAATTTTTTATTTTTAACGCTGGAAAAATAGATTCCCATTTATCTTATAGGAATATTTATGTGATAATCTTCGTCGAAAACTATTCCTCGAAATATTATTTCTTGAAAGTGTTATTTCCAAAAGATAAACCAAAACTAAAAAAATTTCTTCTACCAAACTACTAAAGCTTAGCAAAACAAAATTTTGAAGTGTTCATGCAATGTATGGAAATAGTGTTACTTTGGCCTTTAAAATGCTTTAGATCTGTTGCTTAATCGAGGAAATGTGACACAAAGTAAGTTAAAATTGGAAAACTAAATAAACATAAATGTTTGAGTAAAATAATTAGTGTATAAAAGTATATCTAGCTACAATATTTTGTAGTAGTATGCAAGTGTCAGAAGTGTAATGGTATAATTAACACCTTTTCATCATGGGAATATCTTCTCTAGAGTTGTTTTCCACACTGGCACATCTCTCGAACTAGTGTCGGAACATTTCAAATTAAGCTTTTCTCAGTATTATTGTTTTTCTAATCCAGGTAGCATTTGCTAAGAGGGCATTGAAGGATCCAGACTTGAGGATGGCTCACACAGTGCATAAGATGTCGTCATTACTTGGCGGTGTGTTTTTTGTAGCTGATGATTTATTTCCTAAGACTCCTTACCTTCATGCTGCATGGCATCTTGCTGCTGCTGTTGGTGTAGGCACTTGCAATAAGCTTCTTGAGTAACACTGCTACTCATTAGAAAGCTGGAAACTATGCATTCTGAATAAGAATAGCATCACCATAATCTGTCGACTTAATTTGTAAAAACAGTGATTGGACCATAAGGTAGTCATTGTATCTTCTTGTATTAGGTTCCTGATGTAGATCAGTTCAATGTTAAGTTCCCTGTTATTTACCTTTTTCAATTTGTAATTTTACGTACATTAGTTAAATTCAATGGAGAAAGGGATTCATGCAGGAAAAAAAGTGGCACCTATTCTTCTTATTTGATGAGCATGCAGTTAATTTCTCCTGAACATGTATGTTGTGCTATTTTAAACTATTTACTATTTTCAAATAATTACTATTTTTCTTTCTTACTCCTCAAATGATCGATTGTATTTTTTTTATCTTATTTTTTCTATTTTTTATTTTAATTTCTTTTTATTTTCTTACTAAAGAATATAAATTGATAGTTAGTTAAATTACACCTTCAATAACTTTTATAAAAATGTAAATTTAATCAACCCAAATGATGAATTTCATATTTTTATTTAGTAAATCATGTGTGCAACATTTCATATAATTTCAAAATTATTTAATAGTTTATCATAACTTAAATTTGATGTATATTATGATATTATAAAATATCTAAATATTCGTATTAGATAACATCTTAAAAAATGTAAAATTTAATATATAAGATTATTAAGATAATATCATGAAATTCAATAATTAGAGAGCTATTAAATTTATATTTTCTATAAAGATAGAATTTAATTAACTTTTACACTTTATTTAAACTAATCATATATATATATATATATATATATATATATATATATATTAAATTCTAACTTAAATAGCTTTATAGAAAATATAAATTTAATAGATCTCTAATTATTGAATTTCATGATATTAATTATCTTAATAATCTTATATATTAAATTTTACATTTTTTTTAAGATGTTATCTAATACGAATATTTAGATATTTTATAATATATATATATATATATATATATATATATATATATATATATATATATATATATATATATATATTGTAAAGATAGATATATAAAGGTAATTCCTCTCTTATTTTCTAAACGAATAATGGTAACAAAAAATGTTCAAGCTTAAGTTCTACTTTTATAAAAGAAAAGTTATATTATGTTGTCTTGCTTGTTTAAGTTGTATCAGTATCAATTAGTTATTTGTTGAAAGTTTGGAGTCATTTAGAGTTAAAAAAAATAAATTTAAATATATATTCTTTTATTGAGATCGAAAGATGTAAACAATGTTTGTTTGTAATTTAGTTTCTCGACTAGTAACATCCTTCTAACATTTATTTATTGTTTTTTTTTCCTTTGATCATAATGTAGGACTTTTATTTATCTTTATATAAGTTAAGATTTTCTTATTTTTAGATGTGTTATTATATAAGATACTATTTATTTTAAGTAATATTTATAAGATATTGATATATAATAACCTTTTTTATAACACTTTTTTTAACCATTACATTAATTAAAAAAAATGAAAGCATAACATCGCCTCAACAGTGTAATATTTTTGCTCTACTTTAAATTTGCTTAAAAATATTTTTAGATATAGTCTAAGATGAATAACATAACATAATATGAGAAATATAGTAATTAAAAGTGAAAAAGTGTCTCTATAATTAATGAACTGTGAATAAATTTACAAAAAAGTTTAAAATTAATAAAAACTATTTCTAAACGTATTTTTATTAATTAAACTATATTAAATTACAATTATATTAAATATCATATTCGCGTCTCTATTTTTATCATTTAATAGTTACAAGCTAATTCAACCTACTATCAAATATTTATAAGTTAATAAATTAACTTAATATACAGGATAATTTTTCACTTACTTTTAACAGACACAGCACTACTCCAGTCCCAAATGATACTTTTATTAAACTACTTTTACTCAAAATTTAATTAAACTATCCGAAGATAATAGTTATTGATATACAACATCTTTAGCAAATAAAAATAGTTCAAACTAATTTTTTATTGATTTTAAAAAAAATTACATCCATACCAACTATGCTTAAAATATTATCTTCAAAAAATCACGTTAAACAATAAATTAATAAAAAAAAATGTCCATTCACACTGTTTCATGTTTAAATGAATTCATGCAACATTTCATTGCCATGGTGACGGGTGGAATTTATCTTTCATATTAAAATTATTAAAGTATTTATAAAAACTACAAACTTAAAACCCAATCATTTTGGCACAGATAATGCAACAGGGCAACATAGAATCACATGCGCATTCAGAAGTTCATATGTACAATGCTCACATCGGCATTTGCACACAAACTTCATTCACCCACAACAATACCCTTTTTGGAGGTGCAGAATTGGGAGGATGAACTACTTCCGAAGTTCTTAAATAAAAATGAGTACTGTGTTAATGTTATTGATGGGTTGTGGAAGCTCCTAGGCATACAAATGGTGATAACTGACAACTACTCGTACACCGTTATAAGTCATGTATGATGTTTCATGTCATTGTTCTCTGAAACCTTGGTTAACCCAGACCTGTAAATTGAATAACAATCGTCAGCTTCACAAGTATAATCGAATTAAGGGCTTTAAAGAACATAACCAGAACGACCAAAATACATGGGAGATAATAATCTAACAATGCCTTTGACAGCTAAGTGTACATCGTACTCGGCAAATGCAAGAATCACAATCCACACCCGAAGGGCCAGAAGTTTGCAATCACTTACCTTGCTTTCTCCAACTTTCCAACCACATCTTTCATTGCAAATACTGCTATTTTCTTCACCTGTTTCAAAATCAGCAATCAAGGAGAAAAGATACACAAAATCACAGAGCAAACTGTTGATATGACAATATTATGCTGATTGGCATGTAGTTCCTGCATTGTCTTTCAATAGATTAATTCTAGAAAAAATCAAGTTTGTTAATAATTTCTCAGATGTCAGACCCAAATACCTAATGAGAAACCACATCCACAAGAAGCCGAAGAAAATAGTCGACAATTTGGACACTATTGACCGCATGCCTTAAGGGCAAGTGAAATACCCATTTCTGTTCCCCGATATAGTCTTTCAAGACAATTTGAAGTCAAAAGGACACTGAATTTGAAAGACCAGTTTACTGTCAAAACTTGACAGCAGCAAACAGAAAATACTTGAATAAAATGGGTTTCGTAAAACTAGTTATTAGAGCTTTGCAGGAAAAACAGTTTATCCATTTTCGTTGATCATGTTATCTAAGTTCTACGGATTTCATGCACCCACCCATTTATGAAATGCAAATCTTCCTCAATAGAATGTATCAAATTCAATGCTGCTGAAAGAAAACTATTAAACATAAACTATGGCAGGGAGTGAGAAAGCTACACAAACTCTAATTTAGAAAACCATAAAATAATAACAATTGGGAAGGAGAGAGAAAACAAGGGAGAGCCACCAAATCAGTTCCGATGGAACTGCCACTGCAGGGGGATGATTATGTAGACGAGTCAGCCTTAGGCCAACAAAACAAGAGATGCCATATAAATACCCAAATCAAATCAAGAAAAATGGTTTGGTATACCTCCAATTTGTCCTCTATGGACTTGTGATTTATTGGAAGTGTGCGAAATTCCTCTGTCAAACGAAAGCACTCCCCAACATTTTCAGGGGACACAAAATCCATCGCAACCTTGATACATGACTGCGAAAAGAAAATGCATATCGTGGAGGTTAACATGGAGAGTATTTTAAAGATTAAATAAAATCAATCAAGCCACAAAAAGTTAGCTAGCAACTAGGGACTTGAGTGGTATACAAGAAATCAGATTCAAACCTCAACGTCATCATTGTATCATGATTAAAAATAAGAATTACAATTAAAAAACAAAAAGTAATCAAATTTAATGTATCAAAGAACACACTAGGGTTGAAAACCCAACAGTTTTCAGTTCCTACAAAGGCTTGCTTTGCTAATTAAAGACCTACGCTCAATTTAAGGTACTATATAAAGATACTATTATTGTATGTTAGAATCATACCTAAAATGATAACATACTTATCATTTATACAGTCTAGGAAAACAAGGATATATGAAGCCTACAATAACCAATTTACCTTCAGATTTCTGACTTGGTGAGGACAACCAGCTGGAATAAAAACTGCATCTCCTAACTTCTGAATAAAAGTCCAGGGCTCAATTCCTACAAGAAAACACAGAACTTTCAATATAGAACCAGTTGAACAACTCCCCCCAAATCAAAATACGAGAAATTATGTGTTACTAACCATACTCCTCCTTAAGCTTCCTCTTATGCTCCATAGTAAGATAGAAAGTCTGGTCATGAATGGGGTGAATAACCTACATTACCAAAGATATGCACATTCAAGAAAAAATAAAGCCTAATGAGTGTGGGACACACGACAAATGGGTTATCTAAATACAGTAGACATGTTCTGCCAAATCAAAACTTCAAAATTGCCAAAGTCAAATAAATAAAACATATTTATTTGAAAAACTAACGAGCATATTGGACTGGTAATTACACTAATGTTATTCCCTGTCCAATAGGAACCAAGAACTGAACTGAGAAAGAAAAGAAAGTTTTGAATTGAATGGGATGAAAAAAAAAAAATGTGCACAAGAGAGAAACTCTCCTCCAAGGATTTTCCCAGCAAATCCTCAATTTACAATGAGAACAATTCTTCCTCTCTCTCTTATCCTTCTTACCCTGTTTATAACTAACTAACTCATTAATTGTATAATATCTGAATTAACTCCTCACTCTCCTTATATCCTAATAATACACACTCCTCCTAACAATCAACCTTGTTATCAAGATTGGAATTTGTAAACAAGAATTTTACATTGATTGAAATGACAACTCCTCATGTTTTCTCTAATAGTTGGAATACAATTGCAGTCCCTGTAGCTTACAGGAAACAACCGACTGGCCCTTTCATGTGTGGTTGAGTTTGGTGGCTCTGGTGGAGGTTGGGAAGAAAGCAGATTCTGAATAACCTCTCCATGGGAAATGCTACAATATTTTTCTGCCTCTTCTCTCTCTGTTAACATGTCATCTGGCTACATAAGCCTCCAAATTTAGTGGTTCATAATCTTCGATTAAACTTCATAGGCAAACTTGGGCTTGTTGGCTTCAAATTTGATACAGGTTTCATGTTTGCTGTGTTTTCCATGGACAAACCTAGGTCCAAAGGTCTGAATGATGACATATGATTTCTTCCCAGCTATCATCAGCTCAACTAAAACTGCACGATAGAAGCCACAAACAGTGGCAGTATCTCCACACTCATCTTGGCCTGTTCCATCCATAATCAGTCCCTGGAATGTCAAATTTGCCCATGTTCTGTTTTTCTTTTCCAGCAATAAACTAGTGGAAGAGTGTTTGATTTCTGTTGTGCCCACACGTGGAGCCTCTGTTTCCCTTGGCATCTATGACAATGATTAAATAGTTGTTGCAAGTAGGTTGGTGTCTAGTGGTTTTGTTTAACAACCTAAAGATCCTATATATAGCTCAGTCAACATGGAAGATTCCTCCCTCTCCATCGTTAATAAAGAAACCATTTTCACCCTTAACTTTTGTGAATAGACTACTCAAGAATGATATTCTTTGATAGCAAGTGCAAAAACGTGTTCTTGTTCCTTCATTTTCTGCTGCAAATTCTCAGCCTCTTCCCTAAGTCATTGTTTAGAACCAAATATTTGGTGTCCTTCCCTGAAGGTCGACCGTGAACACTGGCCATTGCATGCAAACCCCAATCCGATGGCATAGGTGGTGGTAGGAACAAAGATGGACTCCACAGACTCATCTTGGACAATATTATTACTGTATTATACAAGTAAATTAGATTCAGACTCATCTTGGACAATATTGACAGATTCTCTGGACGATACTCTACTTTAGACTTGTGATGATGACAACATCTAAGTAACGATTGGACAATAAACATACATGGATGTAAACAAAAGCTATATTCATTTCCCAAGCCTAACATTTTTTAAAGTGATTGGATGAACAAGTTTGTGTAACTTCAGAATAAAAATATGAGAAAAGGCTTAGAGATTGATTAATCTATTATGTTAGCCAATCCATGTATTCATATATACGAAACTTACATTAGAGATACAAAGAGAGTAAATGAAAAAGACTACATCTATATGACAGATAGGTACAACTAAAACAGCTTTGCAGATACAACAAATAAGTCAAAATATTCTAACTAGTTAAACTTACCCTCAAGCTGAATATATAAATTGCATATACAATTGGAACATATATATTGAATTTGAGATCCTCTCAAGGATTTAGTTAAAATATCTAGAAGTTAAGCATTAGAGCTGACAAATTTTGTACAAATTTCCTTAATGAACAACTTCTCTCAAATAAAATGACAATCAATTTTTTAAAAAGACAGTCAATTTCTATGTTTTTGGTTCTATCATGAAATACAAGATTAGAAGCAATGTGAATAGTTGCCTAGCTTATCAAGTACATTCTCATTTGTTGAATTTCACATATTTAAGCTCTTTAAGGAATTGTTTTATCCCCGTAAGTTCACAAGTGAGACCCTATACTCAATTTCAACACTAGAGTGAACAACCACATTTTGTTTCTTACTTTTCCACAAAATAATATTGCCTCCAATAGACACATAATATCCATTGGTGAAACACTTGTCTACAGGAAATCTTGCCCAATTAGCATCTCAATACTCAAACATCAAAATATTTTACTTTCTGTCATATAGAAATCCTTGTCCTAATGCCTATCCCAAGGTATGAGGATGTGAATGACAACATTCTAGTGATCAAGACATGGAATGGAGCATGCATAAATTAACTAACCACTCTAGCTACAAAAGACAAGTCAGGTTTAGTAATACTGATATAAATAAGTTTCCCAATAAGTCTTTTGTATTTTTTGGATCTAAGATGGGTTCACTTTGCTCTGCCATTAATTTTTGAATTTGGATATCTACAATCAATCATGCATATTTCTTTCAAGATATTTAAATCATATTTTCTTTGAGAAATTATGATACCTTCAATTTATTGAGTTACTCCAATGTCCAAAAAGTATTTGAGATTCAAGATCTTTGGTCAAAAATGTTATTGCATAATTTTATTTATTATTTTAATATTATTTCAAAAGTATTATTGTAATAAAAAAAAATTTAATAAAAAATTTACAACATAATCAATTAAGAGGGAAAACATAATCGATTATGTATGATATATTAGTTTATTTTCTTCCAAATCTAACTTTGCTTTCAACTTTGTCTTGAATACCTATTTTCTTTTCATTTTTGTGAAGAAAGTTGTTTGCCTTCAATGTTGTGCTTTCCCCACTTGACAAATGTAAAGTGGATAGTACATATTTTTATTTCATGTTTTCAATAACTTTTCATGCGTTTGTGTTTAGATCCGAACAGGGGCTAAGTGCTTACAAAATCTAGCATAGCATATACTCTGAAGATTCTTCTACCTCAAAACTTTTGGCCCTAGAAATCCAACAAATTGGGTTTATTAAGAAATCTCACATCGACTAGAAATATGATAACATTATAGTATATAGATGAGTTCAATTCTCACCTTATTGAATTGGTTTTATAGGGTTGAGTTAGATATCTCACTATCTTTAAGATGGTATCAGAGTCAACTCTAATGATATTAGGACAATAACTATTAATAGTGGTGAACTTAACCACCCGTTATCGGGACAATAACCGTTAATAGTGGTGGACCTAACCACTCGTTATCATACCAATATTAGACTACTCATCCTCGATGTGAGGGATGTGATGAAAAAAATCCTTCTCGATGTAGGGAGTATGATGAAAAAAATCCTTCTCGATGTGAGGGAGTATGATGAAAAAAATCTTCCTCGATGTGAGGAGGTGTGTTGAAAAATCTCACATCGACTAGAGATATAATAACATTGTAGTCTATAGATGAGTACAATGTTCACCTTACTGAGCCGATTTTATAGGATTGAGTTAGGTATTTCACCATTTTTAAAAGGATTTACCCCCACAAAAACTAGTAGCTTCCCCTTGGCCCAAATTCATGCTTTCCCCATCTTCACCACTAGCTCTACCTCGAAGAACCAATTTGTTAGAAACCAAAAATTGAAATGAGAGTGTTGTAGACGGGAAATTTTTAGTTTCCTGAGAATCTCATATTGGGAAACTATGTTTCCTATTTTTGGTTTACATTTTAAAAAATAACATTCCTAGTATTTTTAGGGAATGGTTCTGCCATGTTACCCACGAAAAACATTCACATGGTGGGAGGTGGGAATCTAATTATGAAAAAGTGCAATGTTACTCTTATTAAAGCATTTAATATGACAATATATTAAATATTTTAATAATAATAGTAAATTACTCTTTCTTTCTATAAAAATTAAATAAATATTCATATGAATATTTTTTACTAAACTAATAGAATTTAGTCAACTTAAAAATCATAATTCTAAGGATTCACGATTCCTAGTTATGAAAAAATTTCTCTTCCACCAAAACTCACCCTAGTCTCATCCTAGTGAAAAGCCTAGTATCCATCATAAACATAAATAAAAGGTAGAATGGTCAATTTGATCCTTCAAAGCGTATGAAGATTTCAAATTAGTCCTAGAATTTTAAAAAATTTAAATAAAGTCACTCTGAAAATAACTTTTATCTCTCACGTTTCATCTTTCATTTAAGATAAGTTCCTACATATTATCATTAAAATGCAAATTAATCCTTGTAAGTTAACATAAAATACGCTTTAGTCCATATATGTGAGAACTATATTGTATTTTAATGATAATATGTAGGGACATATTTGAAATAAAAGACAAATGTGAAAGATGAAAATTACTTTGATGGAATTTTATTTATTTTTAACATTCAAGTACTAACTTTAAAAAATATAGACTTTAAGGAACGAAAAGATCGTTCAGCCTAAACAAAAATATTTTATTTTTGTTTTCAAAATAATTATTAACAACTATCAATTAGCAGCATGACCCTTCACCAATCCTTGGTAATGTGTGTATTTAATGAATTTTTTATCACAAGAAAATAAAGGAATGGGAGAATGTTAATGATAAAAGCATGCAAAGCTCCAAATATTACAAATACAACCAAACATTTTTGGGTGGGAACTAAACTCTATAAGTGACTCAAGTTGACACGGAGTATTTAGACAGAAAACCCGAAAAACATTACTAATTTACCTGCTTTAAAGGACAGCAATGGATATGCCTGAACTCTCGGAAATGCTTCTTCAGATATTCTTGCAATTTTGATACATCCTGCCTCCGAAAAATATCCCAGAGTGCACCTTCTGAAGCATCACCCCCAAATACCAAATCATTTTCTAGTTTTATTTCTACTTTGCCAACCTCTTTGACTTCTGATCCACATAAAAGACCATTCTCTTCGGCAATGACAATCTCATTATTACCAGATTGATGAAACAGATCAACTTCTTTCCTATCACATAATCCACCTTCGTATTCCATGCCTTGAACACAATTTTGTTTGTCCAAAGCATTTATGGTAGAAGATGAATTATTAAGTATGTCAGCATTAGTTTCTCCATCCTGATAACCACCAAATAACTCCCTTTTGTCTTGCTCAAAGTGCTTTTGTTTCAACTTCTCAATAGCAGTAAGTTGCTTAGAATTCAATTTCACTTCAGCAATATGAGTCAACACATTTACCTAAAACAGCCAATTATCAAAAAAGATGTCAATTCCTTAGTTGATGAGCATGCACTAGTACAGCAATAAATACAAAACACTAATAAATATTTGATCAGGAAATCCTATGTAACTGACAGAAGTATATATACCCGAATTACATCTTTTCAATTCCTTAAAAAACCTAATGTATAGGAGTGATGGTTCCACCAATCATAAAAAGAGTACTTTTCTAATTATCAATCAATCATTAAACCAACCAGTGAAATAACTCATTAAATATAGAATCAAATGAGAGTTTAAGCAATAAAGACAATACACAGAACAGAGAATCTGGCATGGAATAGAAGCCACAATCTACTCATAAGAAACAGAACAGAGAAATGCAATAGCATATCAAAGACAACAATTTATACATCCTACAAACTATGCACCTCCCAATATGAAACTGCTTAAAAATAATAAACTAAAAAGTTCAAATATTTCAGAATAAAATTTTGAGGGAAAGAAATGAGCAAATGGAACATACTGCATCAGACATATCACAATGGAGCTTAGTCACTGAATCACCACGCCCAAGCTCCTGGGGAAATCCATAAGCAATATAAGACTTTGGCCCCATGTCTGGCTTTAGACAATTATTAGGCAACTTCACAGCAAGGTTAAGAGCACCTCTATGAGGATCAGTATATTCCTTGAAGGGTAAGGACGATATGAACTCAGCACAATGACGAGGCAACTGTTCCTCAAATAAATTAGAAGGAGGCCAATCTTTTAATTTCAATATCTGAGGCCAAGAAAGCCAATCCATACGACCTTCTGTATAACCAGTAAAGAATTGGTGGATATTGATTTCCCCCTGCATTTAACCAACAACTCAGATGAAAAATGCAGAAATCAGCAGCAACAGAATAAACAAGTAAAAGCAGTAAATAATATTTTTCAACATAAATAAGCACATATAATTCACCCAACATTAGCTATGTTAGAGATATTTCCCTTGTATTTTTCAGATAGTCATTAGATATATTTCTCTTTGTATTTTTCTGTTAAGTGTATCCTTTAGTTTGTAGTTCTGTTTGTTAATTTGTAAATGGCTGGAGTAGTCAGTTACAACCAACTCTACTCAAAGCTGATTCTCTGGTCCTTATATATAGACCTTCTGTAACAGAGAATAGTCAAGCTTAGACAATTAGACATATTTCTCTCTGTATTTTTCAATTAAGTGCATCATTTGGTTTGTTATGTTCATTGAGTTGTAACTGGAGTAGTCAGTTACAACTACCTATTCTCAAAGGCTACTCGTTATATGTAGGTCTTCTGTAACAGAGATTAGTCAAGCTTAGACAATGTAATTCTTAATTCAAAGATTTAATAAGTTTTCTTTCGATTCTAATAAGCTACTTATATGTCCAAGAAGCATGACAAAAATACCAAAGCAAAAACAGCAAACTTCAGCAGGGGCAAGAGACAGCCAAAATTTGAGATGAATATCTAAGATAATAAGGTTAGGAACAAGGCCTGGGACTGAGAAGAGGAATATGATAGACAATAACAAAGGATAAATTGATCACACAATGCACATATTTCTTGACAATGTTGGGAGAGACAGAATAAAGCCGGCAACAAGAGCTTAAAGTTTGTGACTAATACACAAACCGCAGTCGGGAAATGATTTCTAATTACCACTGTACCACCCTATTGTGTGTTTTGTTTGTTGACCAACATTCAACCATGGACTGGTATCTCTTTGCGACCCAGACAGTAGAACATCCACAAACTGGATTTTATAGCGGAACCATCCACCAGAAAATTATAATTTTTCAGTACTTCCCAAATATTTCTAGGACACTCGGTATGATAACTAAGAAATTCAGTAATTAACAATGTTTAAATGCACTGAAACAACTCTTAATCCAGAAAAGGTGGAGTTACTGAATTCAGGAAACATGTAGGATATTCAACAGCATAAACATAGCAACCATTAAATTATTCTATATATTCCATTTTCAACTGCAGTCATTCCTGTTAAAATAAGTACCATCGTTATATTAAATAATTAAGCATGAGCTTCATGAGAATGAAGGTGAACAATGAAATTTGTGTAAAAAGCTCTCCAAGGTCTAGAAAGTTAAAGATTGGGAAATTAACAGACCTGACACCAATCTAAGCAATCAATAGTTTCCACATCCAAATGCTGACCCCGCTTAGTATTTGTTACATGACGTAATGCACGCCACATGACAAGTGGTTCCCAGCTTAAACCAGAAGTACATTCAAGCACATTGCTGACAATGACAGGCTCCCCCTTTTCCCAATGCCACTGAAAATGCTTTAAATCCTTGTCCTGTAGATCTACAGCCCGAGGACAGTATAAATAGTTGTCAGCCAAATTTGCACGAGAAGCAGCCTTCCTCTTATTATTATATCTAACATCTGTGTTTCTATCAAGCCTCAAACATGAACAGAAGTCATCAGGAGTCTTAACTACATCTTGAATCTTGTATGCTTGCACTAGTTCTTTTCCTTTACAAACTAACTCAGATATAAAATGTTGGCCCAATATGCTTCTCAGTTCAAGAAAACCATGGTCACATTCATCACTGACTTTTGGACAAGGAATGCTACCATTACTATGTGCATGCCACCCAGATCTTGACCATTCATGAACCTCAGGCTTAGCATCAGCATCTGATGCAATTAGTTTTACCTCTTCAATTGCTTTTTCAGCATGCAAGTAACCACGACCTTGCCAAACAAACTTGAACTCGATTGGATCTGCACCACCTACAAGCTGACCACTACGTAGCTCGCGGCAACAGATAAGACAAAAGTCCAAAGAGCATTTTCTGCAGCTTCTGTGGTAATCGAATATTGACGTTTTGCAGTTGTCACTACATGAGAGAGTTAAGTTAAAAACTAAGGAATTCGGGATAACTGGGGAAAAAAAGAAGAAATCAGAAAATTCCCAACCAGTACACACGCTCTTCTAAAGAGAAATCTGCCTTAACTATATTTAGCTCGGAGACTGAGAGCCCTGTAGTGCACATCCCAAAAGCAAATTATACAATGAAAAAATATGGAATTTGTGCCGAACTGAGTGGGGTATGAGATGAGATATAAACTCAAGCTATGCTGCTAAAGTGCATACAAGAAAACAGTTCAAAATATGTAACTGATCCAAGGGCAAGAGAATGAGAGAGAGAGAGAGAGAGAGAGAGAGAGAGTTAATTCTAAAATAAAAAAACAAAAGACAGGAAAATACTAGCCAAAATAACAAACTAGAGGGGAGAATAACTAGAAAGAAAAGGTTGCAACATGTAACAGTCAGACAGTTCAAAAGCTAAAAGTTTATCCATAATTGTAAAACAGAGAATTCTTTCTCTTTTGCAGTGAGACATCAATGCAAAGAGATCTGTGGCTTCGGGCATCACTTCAAAACTATGATTAAATTGTGTGTAGCAAAATGTGTATTAGAACTTAGAGCAAACATACACTAATCAAACGTAGCTTTGCTTCAGTATTAACTTAATCTCGTCAAAGAGTAACATCGATTCACACATGAATAAGCTCAACCAAGTCTCCTACAGGAAAACAAAATACCTTGTATCTTAGCTTCTGTCTCAGTCTCAATCATCTGTTCTTCATCCAGTTGCTTTAAAAACGGAAGAAGTACTTGCAGCAAATACATAGAGAGTTCAACCTTCTCGTCTTTATCACTGATTGCATTTTTCTTCATTTGCTACAGTAAACCAAACAGTAATATTAAATACAGAATACAGAAAATCACAGGAAAAAGCCAATATATAAGGGTGGGAAGACCTAACATTAATAAGTTCATCAGAGCTCAGGCAAGCTTTGCAATTGCAATTACCACGGCACACTGGACATGCCTCAGCAATATCCTCCTCTTTCAAATGAGGATACCTTAAAAGAATCACAAAATGAAAACATTGGTCCTGTAATCATCATTCATGACAAAACTTGCAATCACTTTTCATTTTAGGGCATTCATCTCGCAATTGTCTCTATCGATTAAGACTCTTCTCCCAACAATAAGAAACACTAGCTAGCTGCGAATGCAGTATGGTAAACATGACAAGGAAATAAGAAAAACAAAGACAAGCAAAGTTGTACCAAACTCGTAAACAGATTAGGCAAAATCTTTTCTTCTCACAGGTCGAGCACTTCACAACGGGACCTTTATCATTTCTTTTACATTGGTGGCATGTTAAGGGCTCCTCCTCACTATACTGTTGATTGAGAAACAAAAACAAAAAAAATAACTCAAATACAATGTTGTGTGCAAAGACAAACTAATCCACATTTGAATGGTAAATCATTTCACCTTAGCCCTTTTCTTGATGACTTTTGGTATCATCTCCTGTTTACGACCCCTAAGACCATATGGTTTGTCAGCGCCAGACATTTCAAACTCACAATTTCCATCATCATTCTTTCTTTTTCTACTTGGTCGCTGCTCGGAAACCCCACCCTCCACGGCAGTAGTATCTAAAATTTTCTTCTTTTCCATGTCCTCCTTCACCTTTTTACTTTTTCGGCCGCGCTTCTTTTTCAAAGGCTGTGATTCTTTGTGAGTGGGATTTGGATTTGCATCCACACGAGTGTCTGTGTTCCTTTGCTCCATTGGAAAGAGACAAACAAGTTTCAGACTGTGAACCCTAGCTCTGACTACCCGGATTCAGTTCTGATCTCATCTTAACAATTTTGTTGCATAAACCCGTCATCCACACGTGCCAATTATTTTTCCGATATCTAACTTCATCACTACTTTTATAAGAAATCTTGAAGGAAAGAATGTTGCAATGCCTACGTCGATATCACAATTCCTACTAAATCTTTACATCGTAATGCAAACTAACTCTTTTGTTTCATTCAAAATCTGAACTTTTTTCAATCAATATTGCATGGAAATATTTTTATGCACTCTCAAGTTTTAAACATGTAATTTGAGAAAATATTAAAAATATTCATGTAAAATTACTTTAAATTTAAAATGAAAAATTATAAAGTGGTGTTTTCAGCCACCAGTCTACTATGTCCTGTTCCGCCAACCCGCTGGATAAGGTGCGGTCCGGTTAATTAATAAAAAATAATTTTTTATTGTAATAAAATTAATTATAAAAATAATATATAAAGTAACAAATTTTAAAAAGAAAATTAAAAAAATTTTACCCTCACATAAAATATTCTCCTTACTCGAAACACAAGTTTTTCTCTCATGTTCTCCTTATTCATCCTAAGCACTAGTTATTTTTATCCTTATGATTTGAATTAAAAGTGTAAGAATTATTCAACCGAAAATAACTTGAAGTTTTATCAAATAAAAAAGATATAAGTATTAAATTTTTTAATATAAAAAATATATTTTTATAAGTTTTAATGTTATTTGTATATATATATATATATATATATATATATATATTTGTTATTATTTATTATTATGTAAATTTTATTATTTTTCTAAATTATAATTTCTTAAAACAATGTATTGATTTATATATAAAAATTGAAATAATATATATATATATATATATATATATATTGAATTATTGACAAAAAAATTATAATCTTATTATTAAATTTATTGGAAATTTTGATTTTAAAAAATAAATTATTTTTTTCTAAATTATGGTGGACCAGTCCGCTAATCCGCCCTTTGGTGGATGGGACAAGATTTACAGTTCGTCATAATTATAACGGGTCAACGCGCCCACACTGTTTTGGCGAGCCAAAGACAGGCAGTGCCAAAACGGGTGGACTAACCCGTTTTACCATCCCTAGCGTAGATAACACGAGCATTCACATACAATACTAATTTTTTTATGGCATATGAAAGCAAAATAGAAAAAAAAAAAAAGACAATATACTAAAAGGAACTTTTCCAATAGACAAGATATATATGAACTTTATGGATTTTACATTCATTAAATACTCATTTAATGTTAAAAAGATTGGAGTGTCATAAATTATATGAAAATTTTAATTAAAATATTATATATATATATATATATATTTATTAATATGTTGATTAATTTCAAATATTATTTTTTAAATTATTGAGAACATTTATTTAGTTTTATTTTAAAATTTTTGAAATTAATTTTAAAGATAATTTGTCTTTTTTAAATAATTGAAAAAAAAATATTTTAAAATTAACCTGAATAATGTAACATCTAAATCAAATATTTTTTAAATGTAGACTCTCATTAGATATTATATATATATATATATATATTTAAAACATTACAAAATATAAAATTAACAAAAATATATAGAATTTCATCATCTATGAGGTCTAACACCTACATTATTTGTTTCGTATAAACAAATGATCATCATTAATTTTAAAAACAACACAAAGCACAAATGTTAAACTAGTATTTTAAAATAAACATGTTAAATTGAAATTTGTTCTAAAACTACAATTTCATACATTTTCACATATATCTTAATTACACAACATTCATTTTAAATTTAACACGTTATATCAATTAACGTCACATAGACTCTAAATAATTTTCGAAAGACTATTTAGACTTAGAGATTTTTTACTTATTACACTACCTTCCCTAACCGGTTATTTCAAAGATATATACATAATTTCACATTATAGATAAGTGATAGAAACCTTTTTTAATTCTCACCACCTGATATCTTAATCTATGTAATTTTAGATAAGTAAAATCAGGATAATCTCATTTGGAATCTTAATTTAATATCCCTATAACTACATCACATAGTATTTCATCAAGTATCCACGACCACACATATTTTAGTCAATTATGAATCACATCTCTAACCCAACCTAGTCTCGCATACATAAATATACCTCAGTCACTTTTTGACTAGATTAAGCCATATATATCTTAATATAAAAACACACAAAACTCCACTATATCATCTTATAATTCATCATATATATATATATATATATATAACATGAATATATAGATATCTCATCGTAATTCTCAAATTACAACAAATTTTCTATCTATGTATATAATAGCTCTTAATACACATTTTTTATATTCACAACATATGTTCTAATATTTTAAGTCATTTACATATTATTTTTCACATTTACATCAAAAATATATTTTTTTTACTTAACAGTTGTCTACTCTTTTCATGGTAACTTTCTTTATAGAGTTTAATTTATATATGTGGAATATTAAATTTTGAATTTATAGTTATTTTTTATCATATTTAGAAGTTCAAATACAAAAATTCTAAGAAATTTTGTTTAAACGAAAATTCATCGCTCAAGCGTAAATTTCTTCTCACTTAGTAAAAATACACTTGAGACAAACCCCATTTTATTAAAAGTTTTTTTCGCTTACTAAAATATATTTGTTTGAGCAAAAATATATATAATTAAAATTATCTTTTATCTTTGCTGCACATTTCGCTTGAGTAATAAACTCGTCACTTAAGCGAAATTTACAAATACCATATTCACAAAAATATACTTTAAGTTATCAAATATTATCAAAAACTCCGTTTATACATAGTTCAAATATAATATCCTATCTTAACATTTTGTACACGTCTTTTTTAGATCATTAATCTAATTTAACTCATTTAACTATATACAAATACTAATAATATCATATATCAAATTTACATTTAACTTTTTTATAAATCAAACAACATGACCAAGTTAGTATCACAATTCAAATCATCTATCTTAAGATACTAAACAATTTACTATTAATTTCCTTATTTCAAATTTAGAATATTTAATTATAAAAACTATAAAAATACATAATTTCACAAGAAATCAAATCTCTATTGAAAATTATGCTTAGTTAAAAAGACTCTCCTGTACTCCATATGCCTAAATCATATTTGAATTTATAAAAAATATAAGAAAGAGTGAAAATCAAGAAGAAAAGTTGTAAATAAATAATAACTTTGTAATAATAAAAATTGAATTACTAAAATGTTGTATTAATAACTTTTTTAACTTAATAAGTAAAACTTTAAAATTTATCTTCCTTAAATCACTTTTATTTTTAACTCATAATAAAAAATATGATATAAAAACATTTTTTACAATTTTACATAAATTAAAGTAAATAATATAATATAATTACTGGTGAAGATATAAATATTATTGAAAAAAAAACATATTTTATTTTTTCATTTTTAAAACATAAGAATTATTTTTAAAAACAATAAATCAACAAGTGATAAATTAATTTACTATAAAATTAATATTATATAGTTACATATGATGGTTTTTTTAATTAACTATAATAATTTGTAATTAACATTTTATTAATTTATTTATTATAATATTAAGTAAGGCTAAAGGCAGTATTTCTTAATATATATATTTTTTAAATAAATATAACTAATTGTAAAAATATTGAATTTTATTTTAATTACAATTATAAATTATTTTTATTCAATTTAATATTTAAATTTTAAAAAATAATTTATTAAATTAAAAATATACTATTAAAAAGTCGTTTTTTCAGTAATCAATTCCTGTATATATTTTTTAAATTGTTTTTTTAAAATGCAGTTGAGAATTTAGCACCTTCGGTACATATTCGTTAATAATGTCATCATCAATTAATGGTTGCTTGCAATATCGGTTTGGCAGCCATGTAAACAACCTTCCTAAAAAGAAAGGAAGTAAGAAAAGAACAACTCTCTCTCTTTCCTTTAAAATAATTAGACAAATAATTTCTTCATCTTTTATTCATGTTTTTATCCAAAATAATTAATGTTCTTAATTTATAATGCCAATAAATAATGAATAAGTAAAGCAAATATAATGTAATCACTAACGAAATGAGATTATTTTATTAGTTATAATAAATTAATACTAACGATTAAATAATATAAAATATAATCAAAGAAATATAACATAATATTATAATTAAATTACACTAAAAACATAAAATAATATATTTTGATAAATTATTAACGTTCAAAATACACATAAAAATATAATATATGATAATATTTATGTTTAAGGTTTATCTATACATACTAATATTTTATAAAAAAAATGAAAAAGAAAATAACAAATACTCTATATAAACAAAACAAAAACATCATTTTCATTTTCCACTTGAGAGGCTTCCCCTTTTGTCATTTTCCGCTTAAACCATACACTTCCTTCTTTTAAATTTCTCGTTGTCTCGAACTCTCTCTCCCAGTCACATACACGCGCACTCTTCCTCTAAATTCCGTTACACCGATCCTCAGTGCACAGGTGAGTTCCTCTCTTTCTTCTTTCTTGTAATTACACTTCTATAGCCTCTCTCTTTAGGCTCACGCAATGTTCTCACCTTATAATTCAAAAACCTACAAATTTATACTAATTGATTCGGACACTAGATTTCTGTTCACAAATTTTGAAAATGATCTAGTTGCAAATGATTCAAATTTGGCATCAAATTCCAAAATGAGTTTAGCAAGAAACTGTAGGGCCATTCACTCTGTTTTCTCCGTGTTCATGATCTGAGAATGTTGGGTTTCTACCGGTAATTCTTGCCACAATGCGTGGAACACTAGTTCAATTATGCGTTGTCTGTTAAAACGCGTGCTGTGAATTTTGTGGTTGAAGTGCGATATACTTGTATGAAAAGTAAAGTTGTATGTGTAATGAGATTCTAGAGTTAACATGGCAACGATGCATCATTGCATTACATATTTTTCTGGCATGAGCAAGGGTTTGAGTGTATCTAAAAGATTGAAACTAATAAAATTGAAATTAGGGAGTTACATTCAGATTGCCATTGTATTCAATCTGTCCAGGAATAATTTGAAAATGATCTACGTTCCATTTTATTTTTCTCTGGCATTGTATTTCACTAATTTGTTGGTGTTTGGTATTTAATGAGCGCTATGTTTGTCATTTGCCTCAGAAAAATGCCAGAAGATCGGTTGAACAGACATACGATTAGATCACATGGAGCTAAAGTGGCAAGGACACACATGCATGACTGGTTGATGCTTTTGCTTCTTGTTATCATTGATGGTATCTTGAATGTGATAGAGCCATTTCACCGTTTTGTTGGAGAGGGGATGATGCCCGACCTGAGATACCCATTGAAAGATAATACTATACCCTTTTGGGCTGTACCAGTACGTTTTTGCTTCTAAGAACTATGCATCCTTGTTAAAATTGACCTTCAAGATATGAACTCTAGAATTTTTAATTTTGGGACAGATAGTAGCGATATTGTTGCCGATAGCTATAATTTTTGTTTACTATTTCTTCCGAAAGGATGTTTATGACTTCCACCATGCTATCTTGGGTACTTTTCTGATCTTCAGAAATCTTATCCTATCTTTGTTTGCATATTACTCTGTTATAACCTAACTAAGCATTGCCAAATGCTATTCAGGCCTTTTATTCTCTGTACTCATTACTGCGGTGATAACGGATGCTATCAAAGATGGTGTTGGACGGCCACGCCCAGATTTCTTCTGGCGTTGTTTCCCTGATGGGATAGGGGTGGGTTCTTAATTTTATAAACTGGCCAGGTTTCTTAGTTAATACCTTTACCATGTGATACGTAGTTGGTTTTACTTAGTGATCTGCTCAACAAACATGGTATCTATTCATATATGTTCAGGTGTTTGATCCAGTAACAAAAGATGTTAGATGTACCGGAGATAAGATTGTTATTAAAGAAGGCCACAAAAGTTTTCCAAGTGGACATACCTCTTGTAAGTACTCAGAACAACCTAGGGTTCTGTTTGGACAATGGAAAAGAGACCAGTTACAAAGAACTAAAGCTCAATTTACAAATGAGAATATATCTGAATCTTCTTGTCCTCATGCATCCTCCTAGTTATTTAAAACATTAACCCCATAACAAGCTACTAGTTTTCTAACTGTTGTAAGTAACTCCCTCTTTCCCAAGTCCTAACAGGGTCTATGTGGGACCTTATTAGTTTTTATTGATGTTTGTATAATTCCTCCACCATGATCTACATTTCATTTGAAACAGTGGTTGTATTGCCTCTTTAAGTCAACACAATTGATAAAATGGTAATCTTAAGCTTCATTCGAAAAGCATACTATGTTTTAGAAGAAACAGGGTTCCAAATTGAAGGAAGAATTGAATATTCATTGATCAAATTTCACTCCATCATAATATGGTAGATCTTTTGAAGAACTGATAATTAAATGATGATAAAAACAGAGTTCCATTCTACATGCCTATACTGTAAAGGATAATTTTTTCTATGTAAATAAATATAAATAGGATTACTTGCAAGAAATTGTCATTGGGGGGTGTGTAAAAAAAAAAAAAACTATACTGTTTGTTCTCTTATATAATAATATATGTTAAAAATAATCCAATTATTGGTATGCAGGGTCCTTTGCTGGACTTGGTTTTCTTGCATGGTATCTATCTGGGAAAATTAAGGCGTTTGACGGTAGGGGTCATGTTGCAAAGCTTTGTATTGTGTTCTTTCCTCTTCTTGTGGCAGCTATGATTGCTGTCTCTCGTGTTGATGATTATTGGCATCATTGGCAAGATGTTTGTACTGGAGGGCTTATAGGTCTGTTAAAGACTGGTTTTTATTTGTTTGGTTTATTAACATATAAATATACCTTTATCCAGACATTTTTATACGAGCTTTTCTGCAGGTTTGACAATCTCTTCCTTTTGTTACCTACAATTCTTTCCACCTCCGTATGACAAAGATGGTATGTCCAGGAATTTATTCTTTTAAACCTTTATTATTTGTTGATATTGTGGTTAAAATTTTAATTTTCTTGGGTTTGTTGTTACAGTTTATTATTATATAGTCACCATAACTGTTGTGAAGAAATATGTGAATTGTTTTGCTGAGTTATTTGCTGCTTAACGAATCATTCTCCAGGACTAAGAATAGATTAATTGAAAATCATTTTTGTGGTATGCCTTTTCAAGATATAGCAGTTATTTTGCCTACCATAACTAAAATAGAAGCAGGGGATTCATATATTCTTCAATTTTCTTTATCCTATCAAAGTCCTAGCCATTAAAAAAAAATGCTATATAGATTTAATTAATATCATATAATTATTGTTTTTTATATCACTTTTCTGGCAGCTTATTGTTCTACTTTATGTGTGATATTCTTATATTAATTTTTTTTATGTGTGATATTCTTATATTATTTTTTTTATTAACTTGGAGTTTAATTTCTACGTTTGGTCGGAAATTATATATACAATTACTTTTTCATTAGTTTGATAATCTGACATGTCATATTCATAATTTTAATTTAGTACTCTGTTTTGATTCATCTCATCTAATAATATGTTAATTTGGCGAGTCAAGAGCGGGTTGGTCGCTGATTATTTTTAAAAAATATTTATATATTAAAATAAAAATAAAAATAATTAAAAATATTATATTTTTTATTATGTTATTGAAAGATTAAATTATTATAATTTAAATTATAAAGTGTAATTAATTAAATTTAAATTATTAATTATAATTAGTTATTTTTATATATAAATATAATATTTTTTTAATTTCATTTAATAAAAAATTAATTAATAAATAAAAATTTAAAAATTATTTATATAATTAAATTTTAGAAAAATATACATAAGAAATTTTATATAAAAAAATTGTTAACGGATTGGTCCATTGATCAGTCCGTTTTTTGATGAGACATCTAAGATTTATAGTTTGTTTTTTACTATATCAAACTAGTTCGTCCAGTTTTATTTTTTTACAAATTAAACAGAAAATATATCAAAGATAGAGTGAACATTTTGTCATGTTACTGTTAATGCACATCATGTTTGGATCATAAATTTACATCTCAAAAATATCTCATTATTATCATAAATTTACATCTCAAAAATATCTCATTACTACAATTGGGTATATATTATTTATATTTCAAAATAATTATGTCATAAAAAATATACATTATTTCAAAAAAAAGTTACTTACTAGATAATAATATAATTTAAAATTTTGAAAAAATAAACAAAATTTGACTGTAACAACCTCAATCTCTCTCCCTATATAATTTGTACTTATTATAGTTAAGATTAATCATATATATCAAATTTGGATTTAGTTATTTTTTTTCCTAAAAATGGAAAAATAAGAGAGTACGCTTTATATAAATTATCTTTCATTTCAATTTTAATTCATATAAATTATTTTTCACTTCGATTTTAACTCATAAAACACTCTTAGATATATTAAAATAAATCCTTTAATAGATGACAAAAAACGAAAACAAGAATGGCTAAAAACATTTTATTTCCAAAAACTCAAAAATGTTGTTAGTTATGCTCATCTCAACTGGAAACTTTCTATCAACTTCTCAAAATTTGGTGAGAATGATGTACACAGTATCATTATAAGAACTATACATGACATAATCTAATATTTACTTATGTTCTTCTCCATGTAATCTTCTAACTATCTATTGTGGTTTTTGTGTATTTTGAAGGAGAACCTCTTTCACAACCTCCTAATGTTTATATGTTTTGCGAATTTCTTTTGTAGGATGGAGACCTCATACATATTTCCAGATGTTGGCTGATTCTAACATTGTTCACACTTCTTCGCACAACAATGACAATCTGTATGCACAACATGCTGAGGTTCAGACTGTATCTGTGCGTATTCCACCTCAACATGATGGCGATAATGCTCGAGTTAATATAGATGGGACTCCAACCCCAGGTTAGATGGATCACAAAATGCAAGTGTACACTAACATACTGTACATTAAGAGTGCCATGAAGACTTAGGAAAGATCACTAGATGTCCACATATAAACTGTAACAAATATAAGGGTTCAATATAAAATTCTTTTGCAGATGAAACAACACATTCACTGTTACAAATGCACTATCATTTACTTAAGAGATGTTTGTTGGAATAGGAATATATTGTAATAAAATAATCAATAACCTAATATCCACTCGCATTACATTCCATGCTCGATGTCTTTGATGAGAAACGCCTATTCGATGTTGCTAATTTTGGTTAGATTACACTTTATTAATAAAGACATTTTTAATATGAGAGTTCATATGAATTATTTGTTATTATGATATATTATTTTTAAGAAATTCATAATCAATTTTATTTTATTAAAAGCTTTCTTAATAAATTTTAAAGAATTTATTCTCTTTTTTATTTTCTCTTCCTTTAATTTATTTTTGAAAATTGTTTGATGATTTAATTATAAAAAACAAAATTTAATTAACTTATCATATTTTATAAGATTTTTTTTATAAAAAGTTATTACAAGTAAATAATATTTTATTTAAACATTTTAATAAATACTTTAAATTATCTTCTAAAAGATAAGTTAATTGTCCCTCTTAATAAACAAGGAATGGTTTAAGGTTTAAATGTATACAAGGAAGAATAGTTGAAATTAGCTTCTGATTTCACTCTCTCTCTGTTCACTATTTGCTGATTTTTTTATTATTTTTTTTTAAGTTATATAGGGATTTCTAAAGCTTACTTACAAAACTCAGGTAGGAAAAGGTTACACAAAGGACTCGAGTCAAAACACTTAGAATAACATAATAATAATAATAAAGAAGAAGAAGAAGAAACAGAGTTGTCCCAATAACAATTTGAAAAATACGATGGAGATTTTTTAGGCATGTAAAAAACTCTTACAGGTTGATCAATGACTTAATTTTGAGAGTTTTCAAAGAAAATAATAATAATAATAATAATAATAATAATAATAATAATAATAATAATAATAAATATTATAGTGGGAACTTAATTGTTGCAACACTTTTAAAAGTATAACCAACTTAAAATGCCACGATATGGAATTATCAGAATTTTTAAAAATAGAAGAATTCATGTCACTGGAATTAATAAAGTAGAATAAGTTATGTATTTTCTTAGTTATTCTAATCGTCTTGAAATGGTTTTGTATACAACTATACAATTAGGTTAACAGAATATACGAAGAATGGAAATAAGATGTATATCAAACTAAAGAACACTTCAAATATTTTTCAATGTTAAATCGCTTGATTGAATGTCACGAAAAAAAGAACCAATTAAAGGAATTAATATTTCTAGATTTTATGGGTTTATGAAATAAGAAAAGAGACTTTGACTAACACATGTGGTTTGTCACACCATTATCTGCAAGATAAAAATGAGAATTAAAAATTAAGCATAAAATTTAGAACATAATTGACAAAGAATGATGTTTAGATTGTTAATTAAAAAAAATCTTAAAATGATTTCATGTAAAAATTCAACTTATCTAAAGCTTAAAAAATGAGTTAAGTTTGATAAATCATTATTTCACCTAAAAAAATATAAAATGAATTGATAATTTTGATTTACCAATTTATTTTTGACTATTCTGTCCAACCAACAAACCCGTCATCAAGAGTAAAAAGAGGTGATTGGTTGATCTATTTTAAAAAAAATATTTATATATTAAAATTATAATTAAAAATATTATATTTTTTATGTTATATTATTAAAATATATAAATATGTTATAATATCATAATTTAAATTATAAAGTTAATTAATTAAGTTTAAACTAGTGGTTATAATAAGTTATTTTAACATATAAATATAATATTTTTTTAATTTTTTTAATAAAAATATTAATTAATTAATAAAAATTTAAAAATTATTTATATAATTAAAGATATATTTTAAAAAAAATATATATAAAAAATTTGTATATAAAAACTTTTGATGGGATGGAACGGGGTCTGTAATCTGTTTTGATTATGGTGCTCATCTTACTTATTTTTTATATATTTGAAAGAAAGTGGATCAAAATAAGGTAAATTAAAATTTTTTACCATTTACCTGTCTTTGTATCCATAAAGTTATGCTTACATGTTTCAACAATATTCTTATTTTTATTTTTATTTTTTTTCACAATGGATACAAAGCTTGTTACCTTTTGTGAGTCCCTTTACCAAATTTACTATTGTTCCTAGATTTGTTAAAACTACTTTGTTGAAGAAAGTTTGTTTGTTTTCCTCTTGAAAATGTGCAAAAGACAATAATATCTTAATGTGGCCGAAGTTAAGAATTATCAAGAAATTCTTGTTAATGATGAAGAATAAGGGAAAAAGGTTTTGACTATAGAAGAGATGAGTTCCATGAGCAGCACCTAAAATTGAACTTGTGCAATTTCATCGTTGAGACCATATAAGAATTTGATAACACATTCATTTTCCTTTTTTTTATTCAGTTTCAGAACAAGTTCATAAGAATAAAGTGTCAAATATGTACGTAGCAAAACACATCTGTATATTTTGAACTCTTTCTAGGATTTTAATACAAATATAATAAGAATGCTCGAATTAATTTGTTGACAATTCTTCGTCAAGATCTACAATGTGAAACTTATTAAAATGCAAAAAATATCTAAATGTGGAGGACAAATAAGAGGTCATAGAAGAAATGTTATTTGTTATTATTCCTAATGTAATCATCGTGTATGACATTTTCATTAATAAAAATTATTATAAGTTGAGAACAGTGAAACAAGAAAAAAGGTGAAAAAAAAAATATGAATTAGAAGGATTAATAAGACGATGAAAGAATATAAAAATAACTATAACTTAAAACCAACTAACTAAAAGAGTTAATTTCTAATGTAAAACATAGATGAAAATTAATAAACTAAACAAAGATAAGGAGATTTGATTAGTATAATCCTAATATGGTTTTGGTGTTAGAAGGAGTTAATGTCATGAATAACAAAGGACAATATGACATGGAGTTGAGCTGGATGCTGCTAAGGGGACAATGAAGTCTATACTGTCCATGTATAAGGACCATTGCTGGTTGTAGCACACGTGAGAAGCATACCATTTGAAAACTGAAGGATACGACTAAATTTTGTTGTGAGTATCTCTGATCTCACTCATCTTTTTCTCTCTGATTTCATATTCTTTTTTGTCTTTCTGTGGACCCTTTGAGTTTGTGGTTATACTTTCTGCCATCTGTTATTTTGGTCATATGACAAGACAACCTTACTTATTCCGGGATTGTTTCGATAGAAAAACGATTGTGGTTAGTTTACTAAAAATATCCAAAGTGTATTTTATGATTCATATCCTCCACTTGCTTTTTATATAGTTCATTACATCAAGCAAATATGACTAATTAAAGTAGGATCTAGAGTTCTATTTCCCTTAGATGACAGCATATCATAGTAGCAAATTCACAACAAGCTCTTGTGATTGTCTAGGAAGAAATCCAAATACAAAGAAACATGATTAACAAGTATGACAAAGGAATGAGAAATAAGGTATGGGTACAGTAATCAGAGAGAGAGTGATGAGGAAGTAAGCAACCCATAAAAAAAAAAAAAAAAAAAAAAAACTGATTTTCTTTTCCCCGAATAACTTCAAGTAAACCTGCACCTCGACCAATGAACCTTGTATATTTTACTGTCTAATACATTCTTTAGGACACAATTATTCTTGTTTTGTAAAATTTATTTGAAATTACAAAATCATGAGCTGTGACTCATTGAAAGAAGAGTCAGAAACACATAAGTTTGTGATTTCTGATAAATTCTATATTGTGTATTCAAAAGAATGTTTTAGACAATTAATGAAGAGTGTTACTTGTGTTTCTCTTATGCAATATTGTTGTCTGTGCCACATAGCCTAGAGCTTAACGATCTCAGGAATGTGAACTGGGTAGCGATCAATGCAATCACTCCAAGGCCCATCAAGGGGTGTCTTAATGGTTCTATTACACTTCCACACAGCACTGTTGCACTTAAACCCACTTCCGAATGCTATCTGCCAAACCCTATCTCCTCTCTTCATTCTCCCCTTAGACTCAATGTAGTTCAGTTCATACCAGAGCGAGGAGGAAGAGGTGTTCCCAAACCGATGCAGGGTCATCCTCGAAGCCTCAACATGTTCAGCAGAGAGCTGAAGATTCTTCTGCAACTCATCAATCACAGCGCGACCACCAGCGTGGATGCAGAAGTGCTCAAACGCTTGTTTGAAGTCAGGGATGTAAGGCTTCCATCTGGGGTTGAAGATTTTCCTTCCAATAAGCGTGAAAAGGAAAAGTAACTGCTCCGAAGCAGGAAGCACGAGAGGTCCCATGGTAGTTATGTTGGACTTCAATGCTTCTCCTGCTATGGCCATAAGGTCCTTGGAAAGTGAAATCCCCACTTTCCCTTCTTTGTCTTCCATTTCAAACACACAACGGAATGCTTTGTCATCAGAACCCTTGTGAGTTCGAACCACGTGGACCAATCTGTACTTAGCCCTCTTGCGTTCAGATTTTCTGTTGGATAAGAGAATGGCAGCACCACCCATTCTGAACAAGCAGTTTGGAAGAAGCATGGCTCTCTCATTGCCTTGGTAGTAGTTGGGGGTTATGATCTCCGTGCTCACAACGACAGCGTTTGAGTTAGGGTGGACTTGGAGAAGGTCACGTGCCAAGTCGATAGAAATAAGGCCTGCACTGCACCCCATTCCCGAGAGGTTAAAACTCTTGATGTTGCTTCTGAGTTTGTACTTGTTGATCACCATGGCGGATAAAGATGGTGTTGGAGAAAAGAGGCTGCAGTTCACTATGAGAATGTCTATGTCCTTTGGTTTGAGACCCGTTTTCTTGAACAACGAGTCCATGGCTGAGAAGATCACAAGTTCAGCTTCACCTCTGGCTGCTTCCATGGTGGGTTTGGGTGGGATGTAATGGATCGCTGGGGGGAGACATGTTTCTTCTCCAAGGCCAGATCTTTCTAGAATCCTCATTTGAAACTCCACGCTTTTGGGGTTGTTTTTGAGTATGAGTTTCGAGTGTTCCATGAAGGTGGCAAAAGGGACACGGCACGTGACGGGTGGCTTGAAGCAGGCGTAGTCCACTAGGAAGATCGTGCGTGGCTTGGACATGAAGTAGATGGTGGCGATGATGATAATAAGGAAGGCAGAGGAGAGGATTTGAAGGAGGTCAAGGTGAAGAGAATTCCAAAGGTTGAGGATTTCATGTGGGCCTAAGCGAAGTGCCTCTATGGAGATTCCAAGCATGACGGGTATGAGAGTAAGGGTTATGATGTGGTTCACAAGGTATTGGTAGCCAAGTTTAACATACTTGAGCTTCACTGAGTCTGAGAAGTGAGGCATTTTAGCACTTTGAGGTGGGTGCAAGTAGCTAGATGGGGAGAATGGGATTGGGTGAGTGTTTGATGATAAGAAGTGTGGGAGGGTTGTGGTGAGGTTTTAAAGGCCAGAGGGACCCTATGCAATGAAGGGGGCAGATGAAGGGATTAAATGAAAGAGTCCACATCACCCAACGCTCATCTAAGTTGGCATTCATTTTCATAACTCCCCCTTCCACTTCTAACTAAACCTTCACGCACCTTTTCACCGCTAAAACTTTATCACCTTTTGTGTATTTGTGGCTTCAAATGCACATAGGACACACATATTGGCAACCAAGACACCACAAATGGCTTCAACTTGGATCCAACCAGTAACACCAAAGGAAGCAAATAAAATGAATGCATGTGTCAAAAGGTTTTAATTATAAGGATTTGTGTAAGTATACTGTAGATTTATTAGTCTCAGAAATGGGAGGCAACATAAATCCAAATAAATGAGTTTTTTAGGTTCTGGAAGAACACAGAAAGAGTTTGTTAGTTGATAGGGTATGAATTTATTGAGGTACAAATGGCATCGATGGTAGGTTTGATCTCTGAGCAAATGGGCCCTTAGAACGTTATCAAATCATTCCAAAGCATTGACTCCTACTTTGTCAATTCTTGCAAACCACAAGGTCTACGTATACTCTATCATTTGGTGCCACGATCAGAGAAAAACGTATATCTAAAACATTGCACGTGTCCTCTATGCATAAGACATTCAGTCCTCCACATCTCTTATTCTTTGCCTTTACACGCTAATGTTTAGGTTTTCATTACAGGGACACAAGATTATCCTTTGCCATTTAGAGTTGTGTTAAAATCATCACAAATTTAGAAGGTGAGGTATTGCTATCAATAAATTTTTCTCTTCGCTAAGGTGACTAGTGTGTATAGTGAAATTATGATTCTGCATCTTTCCAAACATTCATCTCACAAAGAATAATTAAATATCAAGTCTAGAACAGTCTTAATCAAAATAAAATCTAACTTGAAAAAAAATATATACAACACTGTCTATGATATATTATTAAGGTGGAAAGAAAACAGATATTTAAAAAATAATGTTTTATAGTAGAAGGATAACTCAATTTATAATTAATTATTAATTAATAAAACTCTGGCACGTAACAATTTAAGTAATTAATACAAATTTATCAAACTTGCTAACCGATGATCACTCAAAAATGCTTTTTTTCTGAATCAGTTTTAAATTTTTATATTTACTATCATTCTATTCAACTATATATTGTAAACCATATCTGTTAGTTTCTACTTAAAATACTTCGCGTTTTATTATTTAATATCTTATTTGTCAACTTATCATGTGATAGAAAAAATAATTTGTATGCACGTACACACCCATACACTAATGTATGCACACACATAAATAAATATATATATATATATATATATATATATATATATATATATTATAATAATAAAAATAAAAGATAAACTCCATCATGTTAGTTAGTTTTGACGATGAGATTTCAAAATTTATTAGGTTGAACCCTATTTTACATTGAAAAAAAAAAGAATCATCTACTAAGAGACTTTCATATTTATAAATCAGTACGAGATAAACATTATAATAATAGAAAAATAGTATTAATTTGTTTATAAAAAATAAAATAGTATAATTGATCATATTTTTATCGATATTATTTTAAGTAATAGTTCATATTTATTTTATTATTAATTATTCATTTTTAATATAATAATATATAATCGAATATATTTACTATATATTATTAATATAAAGAATATTTGTTAAAAATAATAAGTATGGTTAATTCAGAATATATATATATATATATATATATATATATATATATATATATATATATATATAAACTTTGCACTTCTATAATTTAATTGAATTTCCATTTGCAGTGAGAGAGCGATCTACTCTCGAATTTATTAGCACAAAAGCTTGTGTAATTTTTAATCATGGATTTCTGTGAGATTAAGATTTAAATATTTGAGCTAATTATTTATTAGTACCACTCCTAATTTTGCATAGAAGGCTATTAAATAGGAGAAGTTAAACAACAGGCCAACAACCTTAGTTTAAATTTAAATTACGTAGCTCTGGCAGTTGGGGAATTAGAAGGGTAGAGTTTCCAAATTAGGTAGGCCTGCAATATTAAGTAGGTATCACAAGAAGACTTAGAAGAAAGAAGTTTGTGTTTTTGTGGTTTAAGCAAACTCCTTTAACAACAATGGAGAAGCTCCTCCTTTTTTAACTAACCAATCTCTTTTACTGCCATCTCCGCAAACAAACAACACCTCACCAACACTTACCGTAACTAGAACAATGGTAATATATCAAATTTCAAATCAATTTCTTTAATAATTCCTTATTGTTCTAAAAATAAAATATACTATTATATTTCAAATATTATTCACTTTATAGTTATAATCCATCATTTTATATATATATATATATATATATATATATATATATATATAAATTTATTATATAAATTTCGAAATGATATTTCGAAAATAACTTCGAAAAAAAAAAAAAAATATATATATATATATATATATATAGAATGAAAGTAGCAGTTCTAAATAATCGACGAGTGTGTTGTGACATGTGTGGGTCAGACTGAGCCTGAGGGCTGATGCCCAGAATTAGTCATGAGACGTTATATATTGACTGAACTGAGCCGGATGTTTGGTGCCCAGAATCAGTCAAATACTATTATTTATTGAACCAAATGAGTCGTGAGGACAGGTGATCCAGAATTCGGCATATGTGAATGATTTTTGTTGTGTTTGAATGGTACCTGGGGTGGTACAAAATACATTAGTTTAATAACTATGTCGGAGGATTCTGAATGAGGTCCCAGACTTCACTGATTGGTCGGGTCAGGTAGACTACGAGATCAGGTGGTGAAAAGTCGATGGGGGATGACTGGTGGCGCGCTCGGAGGGGTACTCTAGTATGAGTGATGAAGGGCGCCAGTAATCCTACTCTGTGTGGAGGGTGGTCAGAATGGTACTGCGAGTGCCGATCACAATGTACCCATAAATGATAGTCTCTAAGTTTGGGCATAGTTAAGGTATACTTTCGAAAGATGTCTTAATGTGTTGATGATTTCGTAATTGATCATAATATATAATTATTACTTCTATATCTGTTTTATTATATTAAATGATTTAATACTTACCCTTATTTTTCCATGTGGATGAGACTGCGATGATCACTTTTATGTGGGAGCAGATGAAGAGTTGAGAAATGGAGATGTGACTACTAGACAGTAGGGACAGTTCAGTGGGATAACTTCGAGGAAGCTACTTTTACATGTATAATATATAAATAAATTATGTTATACTATATTTTGAGGTTCCGTTAGTGAACCAAAATTTCAATCTATTTTACAATTACACTAATATAATGTAAGATAGATGTTGTTATTTACTTGTTTACTATTTTACGAAAACATCATTATAATAACGATTTTTAGGGTCGTTACAATGTTCCTTTGTTTTTTTTATTATACTTTTATATTTTATATTAGTTTTTTTTTTAGTTTTGATATGTCAAATTTTGTTTTTTTTTCTTTTATTCCTATTAACAAAAGTTGAAGAACATAAATGTAATAAAAAAAAAACCATTTTTACGGTTATTATGAGTTTTTAATAATAGTAAACATTGTTACCGGTAAAAATGTTAATTAGTTCTTTTTCAAATAAGTGACAGTGGCTTTGTGCAATATTGAGATGCAGTTTTTCATGTGAAATTGTTACAATGCCAAATGATTTTTAAAGACGGGAAGTAGAGGCATCTGTAGAAAAATAAATTAAAAGAAAATATTTTTTTAAGTATTTACGAAAGGAAAAAAAAAGTATATATATATATATATAATTTGATAAATATAAAAACTAAAATAAAAAATTTAATATATTTTCTATTTATTTATAATATGATATTATTTCATTAATTTAATTTTAAAATCATTTTAAAAAATTATAATAAAAACTATTTTATAATTATATATATTATTCAAAAATAGATATTAATTTAAAGGTATTATTTTAAAAGTTATTCTATAAATAAAAGTCAATTAATAATGATATAAATAATTTTATAATTGAATAAATATTTAACTATTTATTATTTTTGAAATGAATATTTTTTTTAGTTTTTTATATCACTTTTAAATGAATAGGAATATTTTGTTCCTCTATTTTCATTTTTCTTTAAAAAAAACTCTCACACTTTCCTTCCTTATTATAAAAGAGATCTTAAAAAAAATATTCACACCAAATAAATTTATCTTTACATAGATCATGTTTAAATATTAATACTTAAATACCTTTCATATAATCTTAAGAATATATTATTTGACAATAAAATTCGTTTTCGAAGTATTTAAGGCAATTGCATATGTAGAATTGGAAATGCATTTGGTAGTGAATTTTTTCTTTAATCCTTGCAAATATACATTATATTATTATTTCATTTTAATTTCTACAAATGTTATTTGATTTAGTTTAATTACTAAATTGTTATCTATTGATGTGATATTTTTTGTATTATTAATATATGCTTCACAAGTCATACTACAACCTACAACTTTTTTTTAATAATTTTTCTTTTTTATACGTTGCTCATTCATTATTCTTATTACTTAAACTCATATTTAAATTTCTGAATACTTTATTCTGTAACAATAAATTTTATAACGAAGTATTATAAATAAGTAATCCAAAATAATTAACAATTTATTCTGCATTATACCCGAAATAGTTCTGGAACTTATAATTCATAAGTTTGTTAATATATTTTAGATTAAGTTTTTTAATGTAGAAGTGTGAAACGAAATGATGGAGGTATTGGAAGCAAAAGTACTCGTTTTGAACCTGGTTTGACTTTAGTTGGTTTCAAGAAAATTTTCAAATATCGAGTCATTTATAAATATAGACAATAATTTATATAAAATTAAATCATCTCTATCAAAATCATAA